AAATTATATAGTATATACCAACTCGCAAGCACTGTAGTATGTAGTGTGTTTGTTATGGTTTACTTTACTTTTGTTGGAAAATTACAAAACTTGCCCTGTGTTGTATAATATATATTATGGAATGAATGTGTCCTCCCTGAAGTCACGGACTTTGAACTGAAACTCTTAGAAAGGTACGTGTATAGTTGTATCTGTACATGTATATATACTAAAACTCGCCATTTAATTTCCCATGAGAAATTGCGCGTGCCCGTGTCTCTATTTCTCTCGTTTCTGTCTGCTGCATCATATACGTGTGAGATTGACGAGGTCATTCATTCGCAACGAGTCTCGCATACAGCCTCACGCAAAGTGGAGATACCTGTCTTCCTGGCCCAGAAATACCCATTTCCGAAATGACCATGTGCCAAGCATATGTCTCAGTTTTCCTTCGCTGCATATACTATATTGTTCTCGTTTTTATTTTTCCAGGCTCGCATTATTTGCATTTATGGTTATTATTCTTTTTATGAGTTCTTCATCAAGAAAAGAAAAAAATTTTTCAGAGATATAGTGCGGCGGTGAAGAAAAAGGAAAAAAGGGAGGATAATGAAAAATTCTAGTCACTTTATTTTTATAGATTAGACAGGAAACTATAAAATTTTATTAGTGTTTAACCCATAGGATCCTTCCTTTGAAAATGAAGAATTCATGATTAGTATATGATTATTTTAGACCATCACGTCTCGAAGCAGTGAAAGTATTTAAAAATACGAGTTTTACGGACCAAAAATTGAAAAATTACGGACCATTTACGGACCAATGACAAAAATATAACCAGTCGAGTCAAATAAGAGAACATTTTACTTAAAACTATAGATTAAATTTTTCATAATTCTATAAAACATGAAGATATCAATTACTCCGAGTCTTCGACTCAGAGTAATCGGTTTCTTCATGTTTTATAATAAATTTATTAAAGATGACCGAGTGATAAAATAATTATTTTATATTACAAAAATATTGTATTTCTTCAAAATTATTTTCACCACTTCAATTCAAATATTATTTTCAAGAATTTTTAACTCAAATTCTTCTTCAAAATTCAAATCAATTATTATTTTTAATATTTCTCGAAAAAGGTTCTTTGACAATTTTTAAAAATCTATCTGTTTACAATTCAATTTTACGAAATTTCAATTATTCGAAAATTCTTCAATTAAATATACATTAGAAAATAACGTCAAAAAATTTCTTAAAATTCAATTATTATTTTTTACAATTTTTTAACTAAAATTCTTTAAATCAATTATTTTTAATAATTTTCGAAAAAGTTCATTTGGAGAATTTTCAAATCCATTTATTTACAATTCAATTTTATGGGAAATTACGATTATGTTTAAAAACTTTTTGGAAATAATAATTGAATCTCTGCGAAAAATTATAATCATTTTCCCCAGAATAATAGAATTTTTACGGTAAATATTGTTATTTATAAAAATAATTAAATTTTAGAAGGAATTTTATTCAAATTTCAAAATAAAACTGAATTTCAGGGAAGAATTTTGTTATTAATCAAAATAATTGAATGCTTTCGCGCAGAATTGCGTTAAAACTTTAGAAATAATTAAATATAATTCAAAAAAATTCAACTAATTTTAACAGAATTGAAATTAAAATTTAAAAAAGAAATAATATTCTGTAGAATTGTTAATTGAAAGTATGATAAATCAGATTTTCAAAGATTTTAATCAATTTTTATTAGAAACTTCTACGAGAATTAAATTATTTAAATACAAAAATAAATGAATTATTGAATAATTGAATTAATTAATAATTTATGTTTATCAACAAATTTTTAAATAATTCAATTTATTCGTCGAATTTCATTAACATTTTTTAAAATAATTTAAAATAATTGAATTGATACGAAAAATTTTATTAAGATTTATAAAAATAATTGAATTCTTGAAATGTCGATTACTTTAAAACAACATTTGAAAATAATTGAATTACTGCAAAAAATTTTGATAATTTTAAAAATAATTGAATTTTTATGGTGAATATTGTTATTTATATAAAAATAATTGAATTTTAGAAAGAATTTTATTAAAATTTTAAAACATAATTGAATTTCTGGAAAGAATTTGGTTATCAATCAAGATAATTGATTAATTAAATTATTGAATAATTGAATTAATTAATAATTTGTTTATAAACAAATTTTTAAATAATTGAAGTTTTTCGATGAATTTTATCAAAGTTTTCAAAAATAATTGAATTCTTACGAAAAACTTTATTAATTTTTTTATTTACATAATTGAATTCTAGCGAAGAATTTTATAAAAATCATTTTAAATAATTGGTTTTTCTCGAAAAATTTTATGAAAATTGTGTTTGAAAATATTTAAATTTCTGTAAAAATTTTATGATTTATGAAAATAATTGAATTCCTAAAGAGAATTATATTATTTACGAAAATAATTGAATCCCTGTAAAAATTTTATTTTAATTATAAAAATAATTGAATTATTACGAAAAAATTTGTAAGAAATTTGTAAATTATTGAATTTTTGCAAAGAATTTTATCAAAAAATTTGATAATAATTGAATTTCTTCAAAAAATTACATTATTTATGAAAATAATTGAATTTCTTCAAAGAATTATATTATTTATGAAAAGAATTGAATTTTTGGGAAGAATTTTAAAAAAATTTTTGATAATCCTAATTAAATGCTTTTGAAGAATTTCTTTGAATTTTTTTTAATAATTTTAATTGAAAATTTTTAATGTAATTGTATTTTATATGAACTATTGCTTTCAAGTTTTTACAATAATCGTGTTTCTTAATAATTAAAATCAAACATTTAATTCTTGAATTTTATTAAAATTTTTAGAAAATAATTGAATTTTACAAATTTTTATTAAAATTTCAAAACATATTTGAATTTCTAGAAAGAATTTTGTTATTAATCATGATAATTGAATCCTTTCGAAGAATTGCGTTAAAACTTTGGAATAATTAAATGTAATTTAGAATTATTCAACTAATTTTAACAGAATTAAAATTAAAATTAAAAAAAAAATATTTTTACAAAATTTTTTTTTAAAATAATCGATTTTTTTGAAAATTTTTATGAAAATTGTTTTTAAAAATAATTAAATTCCTGTGAAAATTTTATTTTTTATGAAAATAAATTGAAGTCCTTAAAAGAATTTTATTATTTACGAAAATAATTGAATCCCTGTAAAAATTTTATATTAATTATGAAAATAATTGAATTATTGCAAAAAAGTTTATAAAAAATTTGTAAATTACTGAATTCTTGCAAAGAATTTTATTAAAAAAATTTGATAATAATTGTATTTTTTCAAAGAATTTTATTATTTACGATAATAATTGAATTTTTGGGAAGAATTTTATTAAAATTTTTGATAATCCTATTTAAATTTTTTGAAGAATTTCTTTAAATTTTTTAAAAATAATTGAGTTTTTTTTAATAATTTTATTTGAAAATTTTCAAAGTAATTGAATTTTATATGAACAATTTCTTTCAAGTTTTTACAATAATCGTGTTTCTTAATAATTAAAATTAAACATTTAATTCTTGAATTTTATTAAAATTTTTTGAAAATAATTGAATTCTTTCGAAAAATTTCTTGAATTCATTGAATACAATCGAATTTCTTAATATAATTGTTGTAAAAATATTTTAATTCCTCAGAAGAATTTTATTATTCATGAAAAATAAATTAATTCTTACCATGAATTTTACTATACTTACAAAAAGAATTGAATTGTTTCGAAGGATTTATTAAAATTTTAGAAAATAATTTGATTCTTTCGAAAAATGTTATTAAAAATATTTTTAAAAAATTGAATACTTTAATAAAATTTAAAAATTGTATTAAAAATAATTGAATTTTTGCAAAGAATTTTAAGACTATTTATAAAAATAAATTGAATACCTTTGAAGAATTTTGTTATTTCTCTAGATAATTGGATTTTTTCAAGAATTTTATTAATATTTTTGACAGTAATTGAATTTCGGAGAAGAATTTTAATATTTATAAAGATAATTGAAATTTTGATGAGAATTTTAATATTTATAAAGGTAATTGGAATTTTGATGAGAATTTTAATATTTATAAAGATAATTGAAATTTTGATGAGAATTTAAAAAAATATCTGAACATAATTGAATTTTTTTTCACTTCATACAAGAATTAATTCAGCTCATTACAAACTTGAACTTAAAATAATCTTCAATTTCTTATTGGCCAGCATGAATAAAGAGCTGACGATTTATTAGGAAAAACTTGTCAAACTTCTGGGTGAATATGACTCTTCTTGTTGTGGAACTTGTTGACACAAAGTTGTAGAGTCGGCACAGAAAAAATAGGGAACGTAAGCCAGAGCACGTATATACAGTACTTGTGAGAGCTGTTGCCGAGAAACTTGAGGCGGGTGTCGTCTTGTGATTGCACCTTATTAGGGATGAGTTCAAAAATAGGTCCATGGAGAATGGAAAAGGGTGCTTAGGAGCTGAGAAGAGAATGCTGTCAGTTTCTCTTCTTTCTTGATATGATGTATAGTCTATTGTCAAGATCTTGTTTATATATGCACTGGACACCAATTAGAGGGTATCGCATTATCTATGAAAAATGTTTCCTTTATAAATCACGAACTAAATTCTTGAGTCAGCTGAATTAACAACAAATTTACAATTATTGCATATGATTTAATTCGTCTCCAATTCTAATCTTATTCATTTTTTATCAACTTCTCATTATATTAGAAAAATTATTTTTTTTCTCCACCTTTTCTTTTTTTGTTTTTAAACATTTTTTCCCACGAATAATTATTAGTTGTCTAAGCCCAAAAAGAATGAAGCAAAAAGGAACTAAAAAAATAAGAATTAAAGAAGATTCTTTTTTGGGAAAAATCACAGTATAGGTACAGGAGAAGAATGGAAAGTTGTGAATAAAGTAATTTATCTCATCTTTTTTTTTTTAATAGTTGCCAGTCCAATGAGCGCTTGTTCCTGAGGGATTTTGTGTCCAGTACTGTGGGCACAAGTGGTGGTCGCTTGGCCAGATGGTTGCAACCAAACAGCTTCGTGGATCCCTCTCAATGCGAGGTACTTTATTCCCGGGAAGAAATGAGATGCGGATGGCCTGCTGTCATCACAATTCTCGCCAGGGACCAATTTGGCGAAATAGTCCACGTACCTGGTCTCAAGGTTTGCGTTTGAAATTTACTTTCATTTCATTTACTTCTCACACGAATATATGACATATTTCATCTTCAATTTATCATTTTAAAAAAAATTTAACATTTTTCAGTTTTCATTTCTTGTCACAATTCATTTCAAAATTTATTCAGGCGGTAAATAATATCATTCACAATAATTTTTATCTTATCAAATTTCTTTTGTATCAAATTATTATTTATAGGGGAGTGTGTCTATAGGTATGAGACGAGTTTTGTTTTTGACAGGCTTCACAGTGCCCCTAAAAAGTATTTTAGGGGAAATAGGGGACTGAAAATTAAAAAATAGGGGACTTTTGGGGGACCATAAAAATTGATTAAATAGAGATAAAAATATTATTTATTTATACAGGGTTGCCACAAAAATTTAACTTTATTTTTCCCTCACTTTTCCCTCATTTCCAAACATAACTTTCAATTTTTCCCTGACCCTAAAGAATATTCTGATTCACTCTAAAAATTATTAGATACTCAAAAAAATGTTTTATTTAATTTATTTACAAATTTCTTCAAAAGTCAAATTATTCGAAAACATCAATAGTTTTATTTAAAATAAATATTTAATCATTTTTTTCATTGGAATTAAGATGTTCAAAAATTTCAAATTCAAACCTTTTTGAAATTAAACAATTTAAAAAAAAATTGTTACAAAACATAAAAATATCGATCACTCCGAGTCTTCGACTCGGAGCAATCGACATTTTCATGTTTTATAATAATTAAAGATGACTGACTAACAAAATCATTAAATTATTATTATAAGAATATTGTTACTGTAATTTCTTCAAAATTATTTGTATCATTTCAATTCAATTAACATTTTCTAGAATTTTCAACTAAAATTCTACTTTAAATCAATAACATCAATTATTATTCAATTAAACTTTTTCCAAAAAAAATTAATTCTACAGAATTGTTAGTTAAAAGTACGAAAAACATTAATTTAATTCTACGAGAAGTCAATTATTTAAATACAAAAATAAATAATATTGAATGTTTCATTAAATTTAATTTTTACGAAGAATTGTATTAACAGCTTTTGAAAATATTTCATTTCTTTTAAGCAATTAAATTATAATTTTAATAAAATTTATTATATTAAAGAATTTTATAACAATTTTTGAAAATAATTGAAAACTTTTTGAAGAATTTTATTAAATTTTTTAAAAATAATTGAATTCCTGAGAAGAATTTAAATAATAATTTTTGAAAACAATTGAATTCATGAGAAGAATTTTATTAAAATTTTTGAAAATAATTGACTTCTTGAAAAGAATTTAAAAAAATTTTTTGACAATAATTTAATTCTTGAGAAGAATTTCCCAATCTATTTACAAATATAATTTAATTCTAGACAAGAATTTTTAAAAAATTTTGAAAATAATTCAATTTCTGCAAAGTATTTTATTACTTTTCAAAAGAATTGAATTCTTGTGATGAATTTTGATATTTATCAAAATAATTGAATATTGGAAAAGAATTTTATTAAAATTCCTTAGAATAATTGATTTTATCGCAAAAATTTATGCGATTTTGTTGTTTATCAAGATAATTGAATTCTTTAAAATTTTGAATTTCTTTAAAAATTTTTGAAAATAATTGATTTTCTTCGACGAATTAAATGTTATTTATGAAAATATTTAAATTATTGCAACGAATTTTATTGTTTTATTGAATAATTGAATGTTTCTTAAAATTGGATTCTTTCCTGAAGTTTTAATAAAATTTTTAATAATAATTGCATTTTTCAAGGAATTTATTTAAAATTGTATTAAAAGTATTTGAAATTCTGCGATGAAAATAATTGAATTCGTAAATGAAATTTTATTGTTTATAAAAATAATTGAATCTTTTCGTAGAATTATTTATTGTATCAACAAGTTTGTTCTATAATTAAATCTGTTGATAAATTTTATAAAAATAGTAAATATTTAAAAACATTGAATTGCAAAAAAACTTTTAAAAATAATTGAAATGTTGCAAAGAATTTTATTTAAATTTTTAAAACTAATTGAATTTTTGGCGAAAAATTTTGCTATTTATAAAAATAATTAAATTCGTGCAAAGTATTTTATTAAATTTTGTTTAAATAATTAAAATTTTTTAAAGAATTTAATTAAAATTTTTGACAATAATTGAATTCTTGAGAAGAATTTTGATATTTATCAAAATAATTGCATTTTAGAGAAGAATTTTATTAAAAATCCTTACAATAATTGATTTTATGGGAAGAATTTATGCAATTTTATTTTTTATCAAGCTATTTGAAATTTTTGCAAAATTACTTAAAAAATTTTTTGAAAATAATTGATTTTCTGCGACAAATTAAATGTTATTTATGAAAATATTTGAATTATTGCAACTAATTTTGTTTTATTGAACAATTAAATGTTTCTTAAAATTGAATTCTTTCTTCAAGTTTTAATAAAACTTTTAATAATAATTGCATTTTTGAAGTAATTTATTTAAAATTGTATTAAAAATATTTGAAATTATGCTATGAAAATAATTGAATTCGTAAATGAAATTTTATTGTTTATAAAAGTAATTGAATCTTTTCGTAGAATTGTATGAACAAGTTTTTTCTATAATTAAATCTGTTGATAAATTTTATGAAAATAGTAAATATTTAAAAACATTGAATTGCGAAAAAATATTAAAAATAATTGAAATGTTGCAAAGAATTTTATTTAAATTTTTTGAAAATAATTGAATTTTCGGCGAAAAATTTTGCTATTTATAAATATAATTGAATTCTTGACGAGATATTCATTAAAATTTATAAAAATAATTGAATTCGTGCAAAGTATTTTATTAAATTTTGTTTAAATAATTGAAATTTTGCCAAGAATTGAATTAAAATTTGTGTCAATAATTGAATTTTTGAGAAGAAATTTGATATTTATCAAAATAATTTAATTTTGAAAAAGATTTTCATTAAAAATCCTTAAAATAATTGATTTTATGGGGAGAATTTTGTTGGTTATCAAGATAAATGAATTCTTTTGCAGAATTACTTAAAAATTTTTGAAAATAATAATTGATTTCCTGTGACGAAAAAAATAGGGGAAATTTTCAAATTAGGGTACGTTTAGGGGCCAAAATTAAAAAAGGGGACTTTTAGGGAAATAGGGGACAGACTGTGAAGCCTGTTTTGACCCATAAATTGCAAATGGGTAAACGAAATTGTAAATAAAATATACTGTTCGAAAAGTAACTTAAATACGCAACTTTTATTTAAATAAAGTGTAGTGTTCAGATGGACTCAAAACAAGTTATGATCAATTTTCCGAGCACATCGCTTTTGTCAAAATGTGTCCAGTTGTGAGACACTTATTAAAAATTGCTAAAATTTAAAAAGTTTGACATAAAACGTTACGTTTAGTAGAAATAATTAAATATATTTTATTGTATACTAAATAATAATATTTATTCGCCAAAATATGACTACCAAATAAACACAATTGAATAGCTTCAACAAGAGCATTAAAATTGATTTCTGAATCGATTGACTTTCTTCCACATGCCCAAAAATACTAGGAAAAAAAAATCAAAACAACATTTAAATAGTATGGTTCAAAAAAATGTTTATTTAACCAATTGTTTCAGGTTGAATTGAAGGCAGTGCCAATAGACAAGAAGGATATATCTGATTCGGATCAAGGCATAAAAATTCGCAGAGTTTCGAAAACAGATCCAATGACATTTGGTGGCCATCCGCAACCCTCACTGGACGTGCCCTACGAAGTGACGGTCAGCAATAAAATGTGCTTTTACGCGATCACGATAATGAAAGCCTATCAAAATTATTCGTTCGAAGAATTGAGATATACTTCACCGGCTCTAAAAAGATCGAGCGAAAGTATGCTCGTTATTCCAAATGGTGATGGAAGTTATGGTGCCACTTGGACCCCATCTTCCGCAGGCTGGTACTCCATCATGATCACAATTGATGGCTACAACATGGAAGATGTAAACTTCATTTGGTTTTTAATTTTTATATTGTATACATAAAAGGATCTTCGATTACTTATTTATATTTTAATTGTATAAAATTATTGAAAATCAATTGAAAATCAATTGAAAATCAATTGAATTTGCTATTGCAGATGCAATTAATTTTCGCCTTAAATATGTTCGATAAAAGTTCATTCAATCGATTATTTATTTTGCAGAATTATAAAGTCGAGGTAAAAGAACCTCCACTGGGTGTGCAGCCACCAACACAAAATCTTATGACGAAACTTCCTAAACAAATGACCAAACTGAGAAAATTTGTTTCTACTAGCAGTGCCGGTCTGAGAATTAGAACTCAACCTTCATTGCAGAGTGAACAAATTGGTATTGTTCCTATCGACCACACCATAGTTTTCATAGACGAGGTGAGATAATAAAAGAAATAATTAAAAGATGTTAGATGTGTTAAACAGTAAAGAAAAATAGTATATTAAGCAAAAATATATATTTCTTTGACTATCACATTAAAAACGAACTTTGATTTTTCTTTTCTTTTCAGTATTATAATGACGATGGTGTCTGGCTAAGACTGAATGCAGAATCAATAATGAAATATTGCAGTAAAAGTCATTTCGAAGCTTGGTGCTTGCAGTACAATCAGCATTTAGGAAAGACTCTACTATTTCCCGTTGATGAAGTGAAGAGCAATGTGAAATCGGTTGTGAAGGATGACATGTTTAGGAAACGCTCGGAAATTGAAGAGTACGTACCTATTTATCATTAATGAATCTTTTCCCGTTTTTTTGCATTAGAATACTCTTAATCTTATTCTTCAGAACATCTCGTCGTTTTAGTAAAAGAAAAACAGCGACATTCAATGGTGGAACGAGTATGGTAGTGATTACTTGCGGTGCCTCGGGACATAATATCAGGAGCCGACCAAATCTAAAAGCTAGACCTATCGGGATTTTAGCTCTTGGAAATACCGTCACTGTTCAGGAAGATGTAAGCACCTTTATATTCCATTTTTTTTATCCATAAGTATTATTCAAATTTTGTATTTTTATTTTTAAATAGTCGTATTTTCTCTAACTATACAGAGCTCGAACTAGGTCCGTAAATCCCGTAAAGGTCCGTAAATTTGTTTAAAGTCCGTAAAAGTCAGTTGTTTTTAAAAATAGATCCGTAATGTCCGTAATTTAATTGAAAAAGCAATAAAAGTTCTTTGTTTTAACGATATAATTTGGAGAATTTTTGAGAAGTTACAAATGATTGCAAAAATTAAATTATTTTCAAAAGTAAATAAAATTCTTTCCAGAAATTCAATTATGTTCAGAAATTTTTAAAAATTTTCATCAAAATTTCAATTATCTTTATAAATATTAAAATTCTTCTTCGAAATTCAATTATTGTCAAAAATATTAGTAAAATTCTTGAAAAAATTCAATTATCTAGAGAAATAACAAAATTCCTCAAAGGTATTCAATTTATTTTTATAAATAGTCTTAAAATTCTTTGCAAAAATTCAATTATTTTTAATACAATTTTTAAATTTTATTAAAGTATTCAATTTTTTAAAAATATTTTTAATAACATTTTTCGAAAGAATCAAATTATTTTCTAAAATTTTAATAAATCCTTCGAAACAATTCAATTCTTTTTGTAAGTATAGTAAAATTCATGGTAAGAATTAAATTATTTTTCATAAATAATAAAATTCTTCTGAGGAATTAAAATATTTTTACAACAATTATATTAAGAAATTCGATTGTATTCAATGAATTCAAGAAATTTTTCGAAAGAATTCAATTATTTTCAAAAAATTTTAATAAAATTCAAGAATTAAATGTTTAATTTTAATTATTAAGAAACACGATTATTGTAAAAACTTGAAAGAAATTGTTCATATAAAATTCAATTACTTTGAAAATTTTCAAATAAAATTATTAAAAAAAACTCAATTACTTTTAAAAAATTTAAATAAATTCTTCAAAAAATTTAAATAGGATTATCAAAAATTTTAATAAAATTCTTCCCAAAAATTCAATTATTATCGTAAATAATAAAATTCTTCAAAGAAATTCAATTATTATAAAATTTTTTGATAATATCCTTTGCAAGAATTCAGTAATTTACAAATTTTTTATAAAATTTTTTTGCAATAATTCAATTATTTTCATAATTAATATAAAATTTGTATAGAGATTCAATTATTTTCGTTAAATAATAAAATTATTTTAAGGACTTCAATTATTTTCATAAAAAATAAAATTTTGTACACAAATTTAATTATTTTTAAAAAAGAATTTTCATAAAATTTTTCAAAAAAATTCGATTATTTAAAAAAAAATTTTTATAAAATTCTTTGCTAGATTTTAATTATTCAAATAAAAAAATTAATAAAGTACTTCGTAATAATTCAATTATTTTTAAAAATTTTAATAAAATTCGTTGCTTGATTTCAATTATTTTTATAAATCTTAATAACATTTTTCATATCAATTCAATTATTATAAATTATTCTCAAAAATGTTATTAAATTTCGTCGAGAAAATTCAATAATTAAAAAATTTTGTTGATAAACTAATTATTAATTAATTCAATTATTCAATAATTTATTTATTTTTGTATTTAAATAAATTAATTCTCGTAGAGTTTTCTAATAAAAATTGATTAAAATCTTTGAAAATCTGATTTTTTATAAGTTTAACTAACAATTCTACAGAATTATTTTTTTTTAATTTTAATTTAAATTCTGTTAAAATTCGTTGAATTTTTTTTAATACATTTAATTATTTCAAATGTTTCCCAGAAATTCAATTATGTTTTGAAATTTTAATAAAAATTTGTGAAATTCAATTATTTTCATAAATAACAATATTCACTATAAAAATTCAATTATTTTGAAAATTATCATAATTTTTCGCAGAAATTCAATTATTTTAAAGAATTTTTTTAAACTAATCGTAATTTATCCAAAAATTTTTCGAGAAAAATCAATTATTTAAAATGAATGTTATAAAATTCTTCGCTAGAATTCAATTATGTAAATAAAAAAATTAATAAAGTTCTACGTAAGAATTTAATTATTTTTGAAAATTTTAATAAAATTCGTTGCAAAAATTCAATTATTTTTATAAGTCTTAACCACTTCACTGGCGGGGCGTTCCAAATGGCGTTCCACGCGCCGAGGCCCAGACTGGCAAAAACACCGAAATGGCGTTCCTAATAAAACTTTATTTTTAAAGAGTGTACACTACTTTTTACTACTACAAAGCAATATTTCTATAGTTTAGACATCAGGGAACAAGATTATCACAATGAAAATTTCAGTTTTTGAGATTTTCAATGTTTCTTTGAACGTTGAAATAGTCGATTTTTAACACTTTTTAACAAATGGCGTTCCACTTTTGTTATTATTAATAATTATTAAATTTTATTTATTAATTATTTATATTTATTTTTTACTTATTACATTATTATATTATAATGTTTTGTATGTAAATATATTTTTTAAATAAAAAATATGAGTTTTACTGTGTAAAAATTGAAAAAAAGTGGAACGCCATTTGGTGAAAAGTGGTAAAAATTGACTATTTCATTGTTTGAAAAAACATTGAAAATCCCAAAAACTGAAATTTTTATTGTGATAATCTTGTTCCATGATGTCTAAACTATAGAAATATTGCTTTGTATAAGTTAAAAGTAGTGTACACTCTTTAAAAATAATGTTTTATTAGGAACGCCATTTCGGTGTTTTTGCCAGTCTGGGCCTCGGCGCGTGGAACGCCATTTGGAACGCCCCGCCAGTGAAGTGGTTAATAAAATTATTTGTATCAAGTCAATTATTTTAAGTTATTTTCAAACATTTTATTAAAATTCATCGAAAAAATTCAATTATTTAAAAATTTGTTTATAAACAATATCTTAATTAATAACCAAATTCTTCCCAGGAATTCAATTATGTTTTGAAATTTTTATAAAATTCTTGTTAAAATTCAATTATTTTTATAAATATCAATATTCATCATAAAAATTAAATTATTTTCAAAATTATCAACATTTTTCAGAGAAATTCAATTATTTTAAAATATTGTTTTAAAATAATCGCCATTTTAAGAATTCAATTATTTTGTATGAATCTTAATAAAATTTTTCGTATCAATTCAATTCTTTTAAATTATTCTCAAAAATGTTAATAAAATTCGTCAAATTAATTGAATTATTTCAAAATTTGTTGATAAACAAACTATTAATTAATTCAATTATTCAATAATTCATTTATTTTTCTATTTAAATAATTGAATTCTCGTAGAATTTTCAAATAAAAATTGATTAGAATCATTGAAAATCTAATTTTTCATACTTTTAACTAACAATTCTACAGAATTATTTTTTTTTAAATTTTAATTTCAATTCTGTTAAAATTAGTTGAATTTTTTTGAATTATATTATTTTTAACGTAATTCCTTGGAAGCATTCAATTATCTTGATTAATAACAAAATAGATACTTCCCAGAATTGCAATTATGTTTTGAAATTGTAATAAAAATTTGTAAAATTTAATTATTTTCATAAATAACAATATTCACCATAAGAATTGAATTATTTTCAAAATTATCATAATTTTTCGCAGAAATTCAATTATTTGCAAATTTTTTTTAAAAATAATCGGAATTTCATATAAAATTGAATTGTAAACAAATGGATTTGAAAATTCACAAAATGAACTTTTTCGAAAATTATTAAAAATAATTGATTTAAAGAATTTTAGTTAAAAATTGTAAAAAATAATACATTATAATAATCGTAAGATTCCTTTCCGTTAGCAAATTATCTGCATTCATTTGTTTGTTTTGAAAATTTAATTTTGTGGGTTAAGTATTGGCATTTTTTATATATTTTTTAATGTCAAACTTTTTAATGTGGAAAATACTTTACTTATTAAATTGTCTCCACTCTTTGGTAAAAAATCTAAAATTATCGAATATTATCAAAAATTCAAAAATCCGAATTTCTTAAAATTTAACATTCTTTCCTCTCTTTTATAGGATTAGGCTTCATTATTTTTGTGCTTTTGGAAAATACTTTACTTATTAAATTGTCTCGACTCTTTGGTAAAAAATCTAAAATTATCAAAAATTCGAAAAAATTCAAAAATCCGATTTTCTTAAAATTCAACATTTTTTCTTCTCTTTTATGGGATTTAGCTTCATTATTTTTGTGCTTTTGGAAAATACTTTACTTATTAAATTGTCTCGACTCTTTGGTAAAAAATGTATAATTATCGAAAATTATCAAAAATTCAAAAATCCGATTTTCTTAAAATTCAACATTTTTTCTTCTCTTTTATGGGATTTAGCTTCATTATTTTTGTGCTTTTGGAAAATACTTTACTTATTAAATTGTCTCGACTCTTTGGTAAAAAATGTATAATTATCGAAAATTATCAAAATTCAAAAATCCGATTTTCTTAAAATTCAACATTTTTTCTTCTCTTTTATGGGATTTAGCTTCATTATTTTTGTGCTTTTGGAAAATACTTTACTTATTAAATTGTCTTGACTCTTTGGTAAAAAATGTGAAATTATCGAAAATTATTAAAAATTCAAAAATCCGAATTTCTTAAAATTCAACATTTTTTCCTCTCCTTAATGGGATTTAGCTTCATTATTTTTGTGCTTTTGGAAAATACTTTACTTATTAAATTGTCTCGACTCTTTGGTAAAAAATCTAACATTATCAAAAATTCGAAAAAATTCAAAAATCCGATATTCTTAAAATTCAACATTTTTTCCCCTTCTTAATGGGATTTAGCTTCATTATTTTTGTGCTTTTGGAAAATACTTTACTTATTAAATTGTCTCGACTCTTTGGTAAAAAATCTAAAATTATCAAAAATTCGAAAAAATTCAAAAATCCGATTTTCTTAAAATTCAACATTTTTTCTTCTCTTTTATAGGATTTAGCTTCATTATTTTTGTGCTTTTGGAAAATACTTTACTTATTAAATTGTTTCGAATCTTTGGTAAAAAATCTAAAATTATCAAAAATTCGAAAAAATTCAAAAATCCGATTTTCTTAAAATTCAACATTTTTTCTTCTCTTTTATGGGATTTAGCTTCATTATTTTTGTGCTTTTGGAAAATACTTTATTTATTAAATTGTCTCGACTCTTTGGTAAAAAATCTAAAATTATCAAAAATTCGAAAAAATTCAAAAATCCGATTTTCTTAAAATTCAACATTTTTTCTTCTCTTTTATGGGATTTAGCTTCATTATTTTTGTGCTTTTGGAAAATACTTTACTTATTAAATTGTCTTGACTCTTTGGTAAAAAATGTATAATTATCGAAAATTATCAAAAATTCAAAAATCCGATTTTCTTAAAATTCAACATTTTTTCTTCTCTTTTATGGGATTTAGCTTCATTATTTTTGTGCTTTTGGAAAATACTTTACTTATTAAATTGTCTTGACTCTTTGGTAAAAAATGTGAAATTATCGAAAATTATTAAAAATTCAAAAATCCGAATTTCTTAAAATTCAACATTTTTTCCTCTCCTTAATGGGATTTAGCTTCATTATTTTTGTGCTTTTGGAAAATACTTTACTTATTAAATTGTCTCGACTCTTTGGTAAAAAATCTAACATTATCAAAAATTCGAAAAAATTCAAAAATCCGATATTCTTAAAATTCAACATTTTTTCCTCTTCTTAATGGGATTTAGCTTCATTATTTTTGTGCTTTTGGAAAATACTTTACTTATTAAATTGTCTCGACTCTTTGGTAAAAAATCTAAAATTATCAAAAATTCGAAAAAATTCAAAAATCCGATTTTCTTAAAATTCAACATTTTTTCTTCTCTTTTATAGGATTTAGCTTCATTATTTTTGTGCTTTTGGAAAATACTTTACTTATTAAATTGTTTCGACTCTTTGGTAAAAAATCTAAAATTATCAAAAATTCGAAAAAATTCAAAAATCCGATTTTCTTAAAATTCAACATTTTTTCCTCTCTTTTATAGGATTTAGCTTCATTATTATTTGAATTTTTATTCAAGAGAAAAAATGGAAAACTGAAAAAATTTAGAATTTTTTAAAAATTACAGGCCTTTTCCATGATTTCCCTGATTTCCAGAAGCCTTTTAAAAATTCTATACCATTTCCATGATTTCCATGATTTCCAGATTCTGTAGGAACTCTGCTTTTGTCTGACTTTCTTCTAAATTATCGAATTCAGTGATTTCTGGGTTGAATTTGGTTAAGTTGTAAAATGAGTAATTTCTATTTGAATTCGTTTTTTTTTAATGTAGAAAATGTGATGTTAATTTAATTCTTTTTTCGTTATGCACGGCAATAAATATTTAGCTGGAAGAACTACAGATTTCACTTTAGTAGCGAAATTATTCAGTGCTTCAATTAATACTTTCGTTATTCTAGAGAAACTTATCGCTATTTCAAGTAAATTTTTTTCAGTGTGTAATAATTATTATTTCTTTAAAAAGTATTTAATTTAAAATGGCTTTATAAAATAAGCAATGCAAAAGATGACCCAGATACTAATTTTAATTGTTCTAGCCATAGTTTAAGTCTAGTAATGTAAATTCTATTTAAATTGAGACCATTGAGTAAAATTATTTGAATTTTAGTTAGTTAAATCTCTTTGTTAGGTTATAATAATTATTTCTTTAAAATTTTTTAAATTGTTTAAAATAAGCAGCCCTATACAACATTCCCGGGCGCTTGCGCGCGGATAGTTTGGCTAGTAATTGTATTAAAATAAGGGAAATAATTTTGATAATGTTACAGTAACATTATTGTTATAAAATAAAATAATAATTTTTACGCGGTCATCTTTAATTATTATAAAACATGAAGAAATCGATGACTCTGAGTCGAAGACTCGGAGTTATCGATATCTTCATGTTTTATAGTTTTGAAAAAATTTAATTTTATAGTTTTAAGTAAAATGTTCTCTTATTTTCTCGGACTTATATTTTTGTCTGTAAATGGTCTGTAATTTTTCATTTTTGGTCCGTAATGCTCGTATTTTTAAATACTTTCACTGGGTTCGAGCCCTGTAATTAATTAAAAATTGAAGAAAAGAAAATAATGGAGTTTTTTATTTGTCTCATAGTTTGTAAACAATGAGGGAGTGTGGGTAAGAATTGACGATGATTCGATGAATAAGTTTTGTTTCGACACGGAAGGCGAGGCCTGGTCGCTTGCTGTCAATAAAAAGGGAATAATCTACATGAAATCTGAACAAGACTTGGAAGTTGATCCTATCGAAAAGAAATCAGCAATTGAAGAAATATCGTCGTCACCTACTAACAAAGGTTATGACAAAGGTTTCGACTTTTCCAATCCTTCCGGCAGTCACGATGGTTTCAATTTTAGCGCACAAAACTTTTCACCGAGTACTGTTGGTTCCGGCGACGCAGGAAATTCCAATCCTTTCGTTTTTGGCACTCATAGTCAACACGATTCACTGGGTAAAAAAAAAATATCAACACGAAATTTATCAAATTTCTTCTTTATTTATTTATTTATAAATTTATAAATTTATTTCCTTATATAAATTGTTTTTTAATGTTTTATTTTCAGAGCATGAAAAATGCGTCCTAGAGAAATGCGAAACACCGCCGAGATTTATTAAAAGTCACTTGCCACCGAGAGAACAGAACGTCAAGGAAAAGGAGAGTAGTGGTGGAAAATTTAATGCGTTGCAAAAATGGTTGCGAGGGGACGATAAACTTTATGGCGAGAAGAAAGGTTCACCCGGAAGGTGAAATATTATTTTTTCAAATTAAGAATTAAGTTCTAATTAAATTTTTGAAATATAAACAGAATCGCTTCATTTTTAATGAATTTCTTTTTTTAATTTTAGAGATTTTTCCGAATTTATCGGAGTTTCTGTAAAAGAATTGGTGAAGGCTATTGGCGAGAGTCGCACAAATGGAAACGGAGCAACACCTCCAGACACTCCAAAAAAATTATCCAGAAGTTCTTCCCCAAAAAATCCACAGACCATTTCCCCAAGATTTAATAATAGGTCTTCCAGTCCCGTTCCCATTGTTGGTAAGTAATTTTTATTTAATCATAATTTTTCTTTCTGTAAACTTCTGAATATAATTTCCTTCTTCGAATTCTTGAATAAGGAAACAAATATTTGCAATTCAAGTTTGAGTTTTTTCTATTAGAATTTTTTTGTTGATATTTCGGTGAAAAAGATAAAAAAATTAGTGGTGTTGGATTTTTTAGCTGGGTGCAGTCATCCTTCAATGAGTTCTTCTAATTGTCTTTTTCCATCTGCTGCAAATGCTTTAGGTATTTTGCTACTAATCTAATATTTAGTTTAATGATGAGAATCAACAAATTATTCTACTAATAAATTGTAAAAAAAAACTTAGACAAAAGTGAATTTTGATTAGTTTAAAAACTGTTTTAGTAAATTAATTATTATTTAATTAGTTTTTAAATCATTTTTTTGTAAACAAACAAGTTTACAATATTTTGTTAATTAACAAAGTTAGTTAAATAAAAAATAAACTTATTTTCAGCGCGGTAAATCAAATTAAAAATGATTTTAAAGTTCAAAATATTCCTAAGTTCGCACTCTTTAATATAAAATTATTATTAAGAAGAAAAATCGATTTTTTTGAAATTCTTGACTAGAAAGTCCCCTTAAAAATTTTTTCTTAATTTTCAAATCATTTTCTTTTAATAGGAGGAAAAAATTTCGTTAGCGGCGGAGGAAGTGCAAGCAGTAGTGTTTCTCTTTACGGTTCATCTCACAGTGGTGGATTTTCACCTTTGGGTAAGATTTCTTTTTAAATTATTATCAAACATTTATTAAATTTTCGAAATTTTAAATAAATAAAGAACAATAAGTATTTAAATATTATTTTACGAAAAAGATTGAAATTTGAAAAATTTAATTTGGAAATTCTGAAAAAATTAGGTTTTTGAAAAATAGTAATTAAAATTCTATATACTTGAATTTCTGAAAATAATTTTAAAAATATGAAACAAATTGAAATTTTGTAAAATTTTGTAATAAAGAACTTAATTTTTCCATCTTTATAAAATTAAATTTTAAAAGATTTTTTAAATTAAATTCTTTGAAAATTTAAGGGAAGCAAGAGTATAAGAATATTAAAATTTTTATTTAAGAAAATTATCAATTTTACATTATTTTTCTATAAAAATTCTTAAAGTTTTGAATAATTTTATTCAAAAATGATTTGACATCAGATTTTCAAAATTGAAAATAAAACTTTCTTGTACGAGAAAAATTGAATTTTGCAAAAATTATTATTTGATACCTAAATTAAAAATAATCTTCATTACGAAAATTTTAATTATTTTGAAGAATAGAGAAGGTAAAAAAATTATTATGTATTCAACTTTCTAAACAAAGAATATAAATAATATTTTTTAGAGAACTTTCACTACTTTTAGTTTTAATTCGCTAATTTTCAAAAAAATTTCAAAAAATCAATTATTTAACAAAATTTTATGCAATTTATTTTTCACAATAATTCAATTACTTTCACCCTAATAATAAAATTTTTCATAAAAATTCAATTTTTTAAAAAAATTTTTGATTAAATTCTAAGCATGAATTTAATTATTTTCATAAATAATAAAACTCATCGAAGAATTTCAATTATTTTTAATACTATTAAATTAATTAATCGAAAAATTCAGTTATCTTCACAAATAAAGTGTTCCACAAGAATTCAATTATTTAAACTAATAAAATTTTCATAATATTTAATATATTTCGAAAAAATTAATTATTTAAAACAATGTTCATAAAATTCTTATGAAGAATTCAATTTCTTTCAAAAATAATAAACTTTTTCACAGAAATTCAATTCTTTTTAAACATTTTAATAAACTTTTTCGCAATAATTCAATTATTTTCAAAAATAATAAAATTCTTCTCTGTAATTCAATTATTTTTGAGAATTATAATAAAATTTCTTCGCAATAATTTAATTATTTTCATAAATAATAAAATTCATAGCAGGATTTCAATTATTTTTAATACAATTTCACAGGAATTGCTCAAAAAATGTAATTATTCCTAAAAACTTGATTTCAATTTCTCGAGAAAATCAATTATTTAAAAAAATGTTTTTTAAATATTTTTTTGAAATGATTGAATAATTATTTTCAAAAATTTAATAAAATTATTCGAAAGAAATTAATTGTTTTAAATACAATTTTAATGAAATTTTTTTTGAAATAATTCAATTATTTTTTAAAGTTTTAATTAAATTTTTTCTAAGAATTCAATTATTTACACAAATAATTTTTCGAATGAATTCAATTATTAAAGATAAATAAGAAAATTACTCCCGAAAATTCAATTATTTTGAGGTATTTTAATAAAATTCTTTTTAAAATCCAAGTATTTTCATAAATAACAATATTTGTCACAAAAATTCAATTATTTTTCAAAGTAATAAATTTCTTCTTGGAAATTCCATTATTTTAAAAAATTCTAATAAATCTTTCGCAAGAATTCAATTATTTTCATAAATAATAAAATGCTTTTTAGAAATTGAATTATTTTCAAAAAAAATTTAATAAAATTCTCCACAGACATTCAATTATTGACAATTTTTTTAATAGAATTTTTTGTAAAATTTAATTTGTCTTTAAAAACTTATTGCAATTAAATGATTTTCAATATTTACTATTTTCATAAACTGTCCAAACAGAATTTAATTATTTAAATTAGAATTTACATAAAAATAATTGTAAAGAAATGAATTATTTAAAAATTTTTATAAAATTCTTCGCAAGAATTAAATTATTTTTCTATAACTATATTTTAAATTCTTTCATGAATAATAAAAATTCGTAGCAGGAATTGAATTTATTAGCATGATAAGAAAAAAGTAAATATTTTTGATTAAAATTAGGAAAATGTCAGGAAAATAAAAAATATGGAATCGAAGTTTTGTCAATTTTGTAAAGTGAATAAAACGAGTTTTTCTTTTGGTTTTTTTGACATTAAAAAAAATTACAATAACGAACAAAAATTAATTTTCAAAACAAACAATTTAATGCAGAGAATTTGCTAACGAATAGGAAACTTACGATTATTATAAAGTATATATTATATATTTTAATTCCCGTTGAAAAATAAATAAGAAAAAGTATTTAAATTTTTGGTTAACAAAAAGTATTGAAGTTTTGAATAATTTAGAAATTCCGAAACGATTTGTTTCTTGAAAAAAAAAAAAAAATTTTTATAATTAATTTTTAAAAATGGAGAATTATTATTAAATTTCAAAAAGAAAATATTGTAAAGTAACAATGGTAATGGAAATATAGTTTTGCTAATTTTCAATAATATCACTAAAATTTGATGTATTTATTCTATTATTGCTTTATTAATGAAATATATCTCACATAGTTTATGTCTACTTATCAAATTGTTAATTACTAATTAGTCCTGGGAGGTGTGACTGACATTGCAAAAGGCCAAACCTGTGAGGCAACTCCGACCGATACAAACACTCCAAACAGCAGTTTGACTCAAGATCAATTCAATTCATTAAGCAGAGTGAGTTCAAATACAAATACGAGGGATCCATCTCCAAGTAGGAGTTGCAGTTCCCAACAAATTAAATTAGAGGAGAACACAGCTAGTCCACCAAATACTCCGAAACAAGAATTTCTTGTAAGTTCATTATTTTTCGTGTTATTTTTTAGTAATCGATGAAATTAACCAGGTTCAAAATTAAAACTCTCTTTTAGAAGAGAAAAAACATTTCTCTGATAGAGACATTTCTCTGATAGAGAAATGTTTAATAAATAGGATAAGATAAAATTTTGATCGTTTTGTAGGATCCTCAAGAGAGTCCAAGCAAAGTGACGGAGGCCCAAACGCAAACGAGTCCTGAGAATGCAACAACATCAGTGATGGGTCACTTTAATATTGGAACAACAACGAAAGACGAGCGAAATTCGCCAAAATTCAGTCGACGTGATTTGACGAAAGTTGTCAAAACAAGAACAAAACGTGCAATGTCCCCGGCTAATCTAACAAATCGGAAAGAAACCTCGAGTCCAAATAGTAATCTGAATTTGAATAAAGACAAGATTAAGGAAGCAATGAGTCCATCGGCCGCTGAATGTTTGCGAGCCGTTTTTGCCGCATTTTTATGGCACGAGGGCATCGTTCACGATGCAATGGCGTGTGCGAGTTTTTTAAAATTCCATCCCACATTACCCAAGGAGGGCGCTGTTGTTGTGACCCGTCAGGCTGCTGTACAGAATAACAACAAGAATCGCGAGGAATTGACGAGGGAAATGAAGGCGAGTCAACGTCACTCCGTCGAAGTGTCGAACGCCGGGAATTATTTACATATCCAACCGAGTACACTCGAGACACTGACGCGTTCAGCCGATTGTGCTAATAGAAGCCGAAAGAAATGCGAATCGAGCACCAGTAAAGATGACCCTCCTCAGGATGATAAATTATCCGCTCTTCCCGAACTTCATACAGTCGCAATTCTTCCACCGGCACTCAAGAGTTTAGTATTCCTCTGGGAGGAGTTGAGTGGTCACTGTCTTCACGCAATGGAACAACAAACAGTTCTTTCCAGTCCCACATCGAGTGCACAATCAAAACTCACGAAACGCGCTGCCGAGAAGCCATTGCTCGAGGAGAAATTAAAAGATCGCGACAAGAAGGGCAATAAGCGGAAAAAGGAACTGAAGAGCGCCTCGAAACCGAATTATCCCTCAACTGCCATTGAACGCGAGGCGACTTGTGAATTGTGCGGAGGATTATTTCCCCATCCCGTCACCTATCATATGAAAATGGCCCACCCTGGTTGTGGATGGCAAGCGGGGGGTAAGGGTTACAACAGCGGTGGAATGTACTGTTTCGGCTGGGCTGGAAACTGTGGAGACGGAGGTTTCGGTGCAAGTTCCTGGTACTTAATCTGCGAATCATGTCGCGACAAGTATCTAAAAGCGAAAAAGTATCACAGACTGGCTAGAAAGTGCGTTGGCCGAACGTCGAAGAGAAAAGGAGACGTGAACAAGTTCCCCTCGCCGGTCAACAGTCCAATAATCAACGAAAATCACATTATCATCAAGAACAATGCAATGTTTCTTTTGGATCTGGCCAGTGCATCGGGTCCAACAATTCCAAAACAACAGAGACGCTCCTCACAGACGCTTTCATCAGTGGCGGAAAATTACAGCCCTCCGGAAAGTGTTGGACCCTTTCCGACAAGTGGTCCTTTTCAGTGTCTTCAAGCTCTCGGTGTCAATCCATTTTCCAACGACGATCGTTACTATGAGGAGAATCTACGACCGCAGACTAGTCAGAAAAATTACGAGGGAATGAATTCGAACACAAGACCATTGTCCGAGTGTCCCTTGAGTGACAGTGACAGTGACAGTGGTAAAAATCGTGGTATGTTTCACAGATCGGTGTCAATGACAACGGGCGCACCTTGGGCGAAGAACAGCAACGATGGGCGAATCGTCATGACTCGAAAGAGAAATAACAGCAGTAGTGAGATGAGTAACGATGGCGGTTCCTCTCTACTATGTTATCCATCGGCAGCTCTTCAAAAACTCGTACCTTCTATGGATCAATCGGCAATTGTGTCCACTAGTCAAGAAGTCGAGAACACTGATAAAATCGATCTTCTCACTCGACCGGTAATGTTCTTCGTTCTCCAGCAACACAATCTCCAGCATCTTCAATTGTCCATCAAACAATCGCTACGACGTGCCGCTTGTCGAATGTACGCCATGCAGGCCCTTAATTGGCTCATCCGGAATGTCACTCAACCGATTTGTCTACATGACCTCCTCTGGTGGTTCGTAGCCTCATTAACGCCCATCCTCCCCGACGCGGTGATAAATCAGGACGACAATCGTACCGACAAGAAAGAAGATCCAGACATGATCGGCGTTTGCGAACATCCATTGAGCGATCTAGTTGTCGCTGGTGAATCGTCAAGCCTCCTACCAACCTCGTTCCACAATCTTCTACAAACAATCGCCGATTTGATGCTGCTCCTACCGCCCGGTTCGCCTCTCCAACAAGCTGCGATCCGTTGCTGGGGAATCAAATTCACCCCCGCTGATCATATGTTCCTGCATCGAAGCCACGTATTCAGTAATATCAGCAAAATACTCACACGCTCTGAAGAAGAGGAGGACCTAAACATCAGTATGCACGAGTCTCATCAATCCATCCAATCTTCGAATTTCGTCGAAGCACTCAAAGACCTAACGTCCGATGTCGACATAAAGGCGTCGAGTCGTCAGGCAATGATCGGTAGCCTCACAGACAATTCCACGGAAACTTTTTGGGAATCCGGCGATGAGGATAAGAATAAAACGAAAACAATCACTATTCTCTGTGGATCCCGCTCTCATCCACGTATTATTTACATTCACATTGACAATTGTCGTGATTTAACACACAAAGTGGGAAGTCTAACATTCCTCTCCGGCGTCAAGTCGGACGAAATGATGAATTTAAAGACAATGGAAATTGAGGGTCGTTTCACCGGTTGGATAAATTGTCAAATCACAAATACGAAGCATGTGAATATTAGTTTGGAATTGAAGGGACCGGATAATTCGTTGAGAGTGAGACAAATACGTGTCCTTGGGGAAATTGAGGGCGAAACGTTAAAATTGGGAAAACAGTTGAATTCATTGACGATACAGCAGAGAAATTGTGAATCGGATACGTTGAAAGTATTTCGTTTGATAACGTCGCAAGTGTTTGGAAAATTAATTCAGGGGGAACAGCAATTGATGGAACCGATTGAAGGCGATGATTTGGAGGATAGTAACGATCTTCGGGAGCATATGGTGGGAATTCTCTTCAGTAGGAGTAAATTGACGCATCTTCAGAAGCAAGTTTGTTCGCATATTGTACAAGCAATTAAAAAGGAGACGATACGTTTAAGGGAGGAATGGGAGACACTGTTGTGTTCGCCAACACCGGTTAATAGTATTTTGAGTGATGGTAGTGATTTGCCAAAAGCCGCCGATACATATTGCTTTGAAATGTTGTCAATGGTTTTGGCACTTAGTGGCAGCTCGGTGGGGAGGAATTATTTGTCCCATCAGTACGGGCTTTTGGAAGATTTATTGAGTTTACTTCACACGGGAACTGCTCGCGTGCAAAGGCAAGTTATTTCACTGCTCAGGAGAATTCTACCGGAAATTAAGCCCGAATTGTTTGCAAACGCTGTTGGTATTGAGAGATTACCACCTTCGGATTTTAGTATCATTTCGATGGGTAATGGTGAATACGCACAAGGTGAGGATTTTAATGAACACGCTCCGGGAATTTTGGATGTTTTTCTGAGTTGTATAGCGAAAGCTCTGAATGTACAAGTGAAAGTGAAGGGAAAGGAGAATAATGGAAAGGCACTTCAAACAGTGTCACTGGCGACGAGTATTCATCCGAAAAATTTTCTCGGTGCTCGTTGGTGGCTTCGGGGTTGTATGACTAGAAAATTGGCTGAACTCATCATTCAATTGCTGAAGGATATGGCCTCTGTAAGTATAGTCAGATTCCCTCGACTCTTTTTTATTTTTTATTTTACATTTGTCTTTTTTTTATTATTGCATTATGTGCGATTCGCAGGGAAAATTATCGGATGCCTGGGCATTGGTGACAAAGGCAGCAATCGCGGAAAATATTCTCAATTTGACACGAATGGACGAGAAGAGTCGTGAACCCACTGAATGTCTTCACTCTCCAACCTTGTGGCTAGCCCTGTCTTCTCTATGCGTTTTGGATTCGGATCATGTTGAGAGATTAACTTCTGGTCAATGGAGTGCCACCGATGGACAACCAGCTCTTCCAAGGGTAAATTCGATTTTCTCAAAATACAATTTTATAGCTACGATTTTTTACTTTTATTACTATTTATTCAAAAGAATAAAATATTTTTTCTTTTCAATAGTTGTAAAAGTGAAAAAATCTTTCCAAAAATCCAAATCCTTGAAATTCTCACTCACTTTTTAAAAATAAATTTAGAAATGTTAAAAATAATAGAACGTAAAAATTTTTATAGTAAAGGAGAATGAAACGAAAAAATTCGGACAAATAGTTTTTAAAAATTAGTTTACTAATTAGTAAAAAATTAGTAAAATTAGTAAAATTAGTTTATTAATTAGTAAAAATTTTTTATTCAAATTTTATTTTATAAAAATAAAATATGAATTGAAATATATAGTTTTAATATTATTATAATTATAATAATCATATATTTTGACATTGGGAATTCAGGAAAAAGTCAAAAATTTTTATTAAAAGTACTGAAAAAAATTAAATTTTTATAATTCATAAGAAAATTCTTAATTTTTGTGTCTTTTTAGTTTGACTCATAAACTAAAAAATTACCATGAATTCTAATACAAAACCTTCAATTTTTTCAATTTCTGACAAAAATTTCTTTTTATAACTTAAATCTTGAACAACTAGAATCATAAAATAAAAAAATTATTTAATGAATAATTTTACTTAAATATTTCAAAATTAATTCAATTTTAAAAGAGTTGCGTTTATAATTTTCATAAATAGATGAACTTCAAACGGTTTCAATTTTAAATTTTATAAAATTTCAATGTTGAAATTTAATTAGAAACTTTAATGAACTTAGATTTTTGAAAAATTTTAATAATTCAAAATCTTTTAAAATTAGTTAAATTTGTCAATATATATCTAATTAATTATTAAAAATAATGGATTTAAGAAGAATTTTAATTAAAAACACTAAAAAAAATTAAATTTTGAAGAAGTTACGAATGATTGCAGAAATTCAATTATATTTCAAAAGTAATAAAATTATTATCACAAAATTCAATTATGTTCAAAATTTTAAAAAAAAATCTCGACAAAATTCCAATTATTATCTTTGTAAATAAAAAAATTCTTCTTCAAAATTCAATTGAATTCAAAACTTTTAATAAAACTCTTGTCAAAATTTCAATTATTTTCAAACATTTTACTCATTTCAATGATTTTCAATATCTACTATTTTAATAAAATTACCCACAAGAATTCAATTATTTAAAAACAGTTTTAATGAAATTGTACGCAAACATTTAAATATTTTCATAAATAATAAAAATTTCACAGCAATTCATATATTTACAAATTTGTTATATTTTCTGCTCAGTTATTTTAATTATTTTCAAAAATAATAAAATTTCATTTACGAATTCAATTATTTTCATTGCAGAATTTCAATTATTTTTAATACAATTTTAATCGAATTCCTTGAAAATTTAACTATTTTAAAAAATGTTATTAAAATTCGTCAAAAGAATTCAATTATTTAAAAATTTGTTAATAAAATTCTTTATAAGAATTAAATTTTAAAAAACATTCAATTATTCAATAAAGAATTTACTTTCGTATTTAAATAATTTAATTCTCGTAGAATTTTCTATAATAAAAATTGATTTGAAATTGAATTTTAGTTTAAATTTTAGATAATAATAGAATATGAAAATAATTTTTAAGAAGTTACAGTAACAATATTCTTACAATATAAAATAATGATTTGAACACAATTTTTTCATGTTTTATAACAATTTTTTAAAAGTTGTTTAATTTCAAAAATTATTTTTGAATTTAAAATTTTTGAAAATCTTATTTCCTATGGAAAAATAATAATAATTAAATATTTAAAAAAGAAATTATTGTTTTCGAATAATTTTTTATTTAATTTACAAAAAAATCTCAACAAAATTCCAATTATTATCTTTATAAATAAAAAAAAATTCTTGTTCAAAATTCAATTATTTTTAAAAACTTTAATAAAATTCTTGTCAAAATGTGAATTATTTTCAAAAATTTTAATAAAATTCTTGTCAAAATTTCAATTACTTTCAAAAATTTTCCTTTTTTCAATGATTTTCAATATCTACTATTTTTATAAAATTACCCAAAAGAATTCAATTTGTATTTAAAAATAATTTTAATAAAATTGTTTCGCAAACATTTAATTATTTTCATAAATAATAAAAATTTCACAGCATTTTAAATATTTACAAAATTTTTATAAGTTTCTTTTCAATGAATAATTCAATTATTTTCAGAAATTGTAAAACTCATCGCAGAATTTCAATTATTTTTAATACATCATTAATCGAATTCTTTGAAAAATGTTACTATTCTAAAAAATTTTATTAAAATTCGTCAAAAGAATTCAATTATTTAAAAAATTTGTTAATAAAATTCTTTATAAGAATTATATTTTAAAAAACATTCAATTATTCAATAAATATAATTTACTTTTGTACTTAAATAATTGAATTCTCGTATAATTTTTTAAAAATTTATTTAAAAATGAATTTGAATTTGAAATTTTTGAAAATCTTAATTTCTGTGGAAAAATAGTAGGTAATATTTAAATATTTAAAATATTTAAAAAAGAAATTATTGTTTTCGTATAATTTTATGATGTTCGTATATAAAGTTAACAGAATATTTTTTTCAATAAAATTTTTTCCTTTATTTTCTAAAAATTAAAAACTTTTCAGTTTCATTGTCAATTAAATTTTCTAATTGACAAATATAATTTATAAACATTTTTTTCTTTTATTTTGAAAAAACTTTCAATTTTATTAAAACATAATTTAAATTAAGAAATAGAAATGATGCTTATTATTTCCTTATGAATATTGAGAATTTTCTACAAAAATAGTTAGAGACGGGAATATCTAATGTTTTTCTTTCCAAAAGAAGAAAATGAGTTTGTTAACAATATTGTTATTGAGAAATAAAAATTATGTAGAAAATGGGAATATTTTCTATTTCTTAATCAAATTTTTTTTTAATAATTTATTAACAATTTTCTAGTATTTTTTATTATTAAAAAAGGAGAATAATTTGCATAATAATCTACATCAGTCAAACGAAATTTGTTATAGAAAAAACATATAACAAACAAAATTTATTTGTTAATCAGAATTTTTTTTAAATTTTCTAATTTTCCAATTTCAAATATTATTTTATTATCGAAAATTGTTTTTTTTTTAGTTTAGATGTAATTTTTGTTTTTAAGTAAATCCATGATCTTAGTAAAATAAAAATAATTTTACTAAGATTAGTAAAATTATTAAATAAGTAATTAAAAAAATAATTTTTCTGTTTTTTTTCAGCAAACCTGTTCGAATCACGATGACAATGAGACAGTAGCAGTGATTCAGTGCAATTTTTGTGGCAATCTATGCGCCGAATGTGATCGCGTTCTTCACTTGCATAGAAAAACAAAACTTCATCAGCGACAAGTTTGTAAAGAAGAAGAGGAGGCAATTCGTGTCGATCTCCATGAGGGTTGTGGAAGAACGAAACTCTTTTGGATTCTAGCGTTAGCCGACAGTAGTACATTAAAAGCATTAGTGGAATTTCGCGATGGTTCACCACAAAAGCCAGCTGGGCTGTCGACAGGTCTCTGTCGTTTTTGCGGAGCAACGGGAAACACTGGATTATTGGCAATTGGAAATGTCTGCGCCGATTATGATTGTCAGGAGCATGCAAAGAATGCATGTCACAAAATTCATTCTTGTGGCCATATTTGCGGTGGTGTACGAAATGAACGAGCATGTTTGCCCTGTCTTCATCGTTGTGTGTCAAATGGCGATTTAAAGCAAGACGCCGACGATATGTGCATGATTTGTTTCGTCGAGGCACTATCTAGCGCTCCGGCTATTCAATTACAATGTGGACACATTTTTCATTTGCATTGCTGTTGGAATGTTCTTGTGAAAAAATGGGTGGGACCGAGAATCACCTTTGGATTTGCCTGTTGTCCGATTTGCAAGGTGCCCATGGAACATCCTAATTTGTCGGAGCAACTCACGAGTGTCAAGGCACTCTATGAGGACGTTCGACGAAAGGCACTGATGCGATTAGAATACGAGGGTTTGCACAAGTACGTTTTCTAATTAGATAATAAAAATTAATATTAGTTTTTGAAATAATTAAAATAAAATAATAATAATAATAAAAAATAATTAAAATAATAAATAAAAAAAATTTTTTTTTTTAAATTATGATTCTGTTTTAATTTAAATTTAATTTCTGGCTTTTTTTAGAGCTGAGGCGGTGATTTCGCCGGGTGGTCGTTATTATCAGGATCCAACTGCATACGCAATGGATCGTTACGCTTATTATGTTTGTTATAAATGTCAAAAAGCCTATTACGGCGGCGAAGCGAGATGCGATGTTCAACAGGGTGGCGAGTCGTTCGATCCAACGGAACTTGTTTGCGGTGGGTGCAGCGATGTTGCACGAGCTCAAATGTGCCCAAAACACGGAACTGATTTTCTCGAATACAAATGTCGTTATTGTTGCTCAGTTGCTGTATTCTTTTGTTTTGGATCGACACACTTTTGTAATAATTGTCACGATGATTTTCAAAGAGTTACCAACATTCCAAAAACACAATTGCCATTTTGTCCAGCGGGTATGTTTCTTATTTATTTCAATTCGAATATTATTATTAATATTTTTTTCAATTAATCTATAGTTCTTTCAATAATTGAATTTCTTCAAAGAATTTTATTATTATTTTTCTCAATTATCTATAGTTCTTTCAAATTTATTTTTTTTCTTTATGCTATCTATTTTTGAAATGTATTAATACATTTTGTTTGCTTTATTCAAGGCTCGAACCAGTGAAAGTATTTAAAAATACGAGTTTTACGGACCAAAAATTGAAAAATTACGGACCATTTACGGACCAATGACAAGAATATAACCAATCGAGTCAAATAAGAGAACATTTTACTTAAAACTATAAATTAAATTTTCCTCAACTATAAAACATGAAGAAATCGATAACTCTGAGTCTTCGACTCGTAGTGATCGCTATCTTCATGTTTTATAATAATTTATTAAAGATGATCGAGTGATAAAATAATTATTTTATAGTATAAAAATATTGTATTTCTTCAAAATTATTTTCATCACTTCAATTCAAATATTATTTTCAAGAATTTTTTAACAAAAATTCTTCTTTAAATCAATTATTATTTTTAATATTTTTTTCGAAAAAGGTTCTTTGACAATTTTTAAAGATCTATTTTTGTTTACAATTCAATTTTACGAAATTCCAATTATTCGAAAATTCTTCAATTAAATATATATTAGAAAATAACAACTTCCAAAAATTTCTTATAAAAAATTAAATTAAACCTTTTGAAAAAAATTAATTTCACAGAATTGTTAGGTAAAATTTTAATTTTCAAAGATTTTTATTTTAAACCTTTTGAGAATTCAATTATTTCCAAAAATTCTATGGTATATAATGCTTTTAATATTCAATTATTATCTATAAAATTTTAACTGAAATTCATTTTTAAATCAATTTTTATTAGAAAATTCAACGAGAATTCAATTATTTAAATACAAAAATGATTAACTTATTGAATAATTAAATGTTTCTTTAAATTGAATTCTCATAAAGAATTTTATCAACAAATTTTTAAGAATAATTAAATTTTTCGATAAATTCGATTAAAATTGTATTGTTACTGTAACATTTTTAATAATTATTTTCCTCATTTCAATTCAATTATTATTTTTTTACAGTTTTTAACTAGAATTCTTCTTTAAATAAATTATTTTTAATGATTTTCGAAAAAGTTCATTTTGTGAATTTTCAAATCCATTTGTCCATCGGAATTTCACATAAAATTGAATTGTAATTCAATTTTATGTGAAATTCCGATTTTTTAAAAAATTTTTTTCAAAATTGAATTTTTGCGAAAAATAATGATAATTTTGAAAATAATTGAATTCTTAAGGTGAATATTGTTATTTACGAAAATAATTGAATTTTACACATTTTTATTACAATTTCAAAACTTATAATTGCAATTCTGTAAAGTATTTTGTTATTAATCAAGATAATTGAATGCTTTCGAGGAATTGCGTTAAAAATAATATAATTCAAAAAATTCTACTAATTTTAACAGAATTGAAATTAAAATTTAAAAAAAAAATAATTCTTTACAATTGTTAGTTAAAAGTATAAAAAATCAGATTTTGGAAGATTTTAATAAATTTTTATTAAAAAATTCTACGAAAATTAAATTATTTAAATAAAAAAATAAATGAATTATTGAATAATTGAATTAATTAATAATTTGTTTATCAACAAATTTTTAAATACTTCAATTTATTCGACGAATTTTATTAACATTTTTGAGAATAATTTAAAATAATTGATTTGATACGAAGAATTGTATTAAGATTTATAAAAATAATTGAATTCTTGAAACGTCGATTATTTCAAAACAATATTTGAAAGTAATTTATTTTCTGCGAAAAATTTTGATAATTTTGAAAGTAATTGAATTTTCATGGTGAATATTGATATTTATAAAAATAATTGAATTTTTGGAACGAATTTTATTAAAATTTTCAAAAATAATTAAATTCTTACGAAGAACTTTATTAATTTTTTTTATTTATATAATTGAATTCTAGCGAAGAATTTTATAAAAATCATTTTAAATAATTGATTCTTCTCGAAAAATTTTATGAAAATTGTGTTTGAAAATAATAATTGAATTACATATTACGAAAAAATTTATAAGAAATTTGTAAATTATCGAATTCTGGCAAATAATTTTATCACAAAATTTGATAATAATTGAATTTCTTCGAAGAATTTTATTATTTATAAAAATAATTGAATTTTTGCGAAGAAATTTTATATTTCACAAAAATAATTGTATTCTATGATCAATTTTATTAGAATTTTTCAAATTTCTAAAGCATTTTATCAAAAATATTTGAATTCATAAAAAGAATTGTACTGGAAAAATAATTGAATTGTATAGGAAAATTTTATTAAAATTACAATTTTGTTTAAGTAAATCTTGTAATGAATTTGGTCAAAATTTTTTTAAAGAATAGAATTTTTAAAAGAATTTTATTTAAATTTTTGGAAAATAATTGAATTTCAGAAAAGAATTTTAAAATTTATAAAGATAATTGAAATTTTGATGAGAATTTAAAGAAATTTTTGAATATAATTGAATTTCTGCAAAGAATTTTATTACTTTGGAAAATAATTGAATTTTTGCAATCATTTGTAACTTCTCAAAAATCTAAGAACTTTTATTGCTTTTTCAATCAAATTACGGACTTTGAGGACCTTTTTTTTTTTAAAAAAAATGACTTCTAAGAACTTTAAACAAATTTACGGACCTAGTTCGAGTCCTGTTTAATATTTGTTTAAAAGAATAATTTTCTACTACCTTATTTAATTACTAAAAGTTTTTCAAATAAAATGAACGAATAAATTCTATTTCAGGACCGAAGGGTAAACAACTGGAGGGAGATGAATGCCCTTTACACGTGAAACATCCACCAACGGGCGAAGAGTTTGCTCTTGGCTGTGGAATATGCCGTAATGCACATACTTTTTAAAAAAAATTGTCTTCAAATGTTTATTAAGAAAAAGAGAAGAGTCAAATTTTCAAATATCACCTGAAAATATCTCTTTAAGATTTAATACTACTAGTCTAATTATGAGCAAACGGCAAATGTGTATGTCTGTGTGTGTTTTTTTTTCAATATTAAGAATGAAGGAAATGTCAACGGTGATATGTTGCCACACTAGAAAATTTCAAATGTTTTTTCATTAAATAAATTTTTTTTCCTCTTACAATTTAAAAAGGGAAATGTATTCTAGAACTTAAAGTAAATGACGAATGATTAAATGAATGATATATGTGAAAATATTCACCGTATTTGGTGAACCGTCAAAATAAGTGAGAAAAACCATATTGCATTTGTTATTAAGAAAATTTAAAATAAGAACGTTTTTATCGATAGTTTCTCGTAAGTTGTAGAAAAAAGAAAAAAAAATAAGAGCTTTCTACATTAATGTAAGACTTATCGAAAAAAAAGTAATTCCGTTTCAAGGTGTCTAATTATCGCCTTTTTCCAATGCGTTCTAGAATTATTAATAATAATATAAATAATAAAAAATTATTAAAAAAAAAATAAATAAAAGAGGCGATTCCAAAGACACGAGATGTGTATTTTCGTGTTAATAATTAAAAAAAAAGGAAAAAAATTCAAGTGTGTTACGTTAATGCTGATGGTTAGGAAAAAAAAGTCTAATAGTATGAAAGAATTTTGCGCGATGATGTTAAGTGTACGTATAACTAAAAAACAGTAATACAATCAAACGTACGTGTGATTACTTAGAGTCTTTAAATTATTAAAAGTGACAGTAATTTGTAAATTTTTCATGTTATAATCTAATTTTGTATTTTTGCTCATATCTTTTTAATCGTTGCCGAGATAATTATGTCGATGATAATAATATTAACAACAATTCAGCGTGTAAAATTGCACGTTTATTTTAAAAAAATTATTTATTATATTCTACGTGAAATTTTTTGTCCGTTACTATTATATATAATTTGAGTACATAAAAGAAAATGTTCTTTTTGATTTTGGGCACGTTTCTAAATGTTTGTAAGCGTTTATTTTCGTTTTAGTATTTTGTATTCATTTTCTACGACTTGTATTTCAGTTTGCCATTATACAAAAGACTTGAGAAATAATAAGTCTTTTATTTTCTCCAAACATTCACAGCTTTAGATTATTTTCCAAAATTATTCTTACTCTTTTCTAAGTTTTTATTTATTAACTTTCTTGGATTTAAAATATTGGATCATTTTTTCTTTGAATGAGTAGAAATTATGTATTTCAGGCATCGCACTCGATAATTAAAATTTAAAAAAGTATCAACAAGTAGCTTTCAAATTAAAAAAAAAAAAGTAGTAAAAAAGTGACTATCGAAAAATTCAACTTGATGACATTAACTCTCACAAAAATGAAAAAAATTCTATTCTATATTTTATTTTTATAACTTTTTCCTAATTTTCATCAAAAATCACTTCTTTCTTATCCTGCTAATAAATTGAATTCCTGCAACGAATTTTATTATTCATGAAAAAATTTAAATATTTATAAAAATAATTTGATTCTTGCGAAGAATTTTATAAAAAATTTTGAATAATTGATTTCTTTCGACTAATTTTATGCAAATTCAAATTTAAATAATTGAATTCCTGAGAAATTTTTATTATTTATGAAAAAAATTGAATTCCTACGAAGATTTCAACAAAAATTTTTTTTAAATAATTGAATTCTGTTTGGAAATTTTATGAAAACAGTAGATATTTGAAAATCATTGAATTGCAAAAAGTTTTTGAAAATAATTATATTTTACAAAGAATTCTATTAACATTTTTGAGAATAATTGAATAAAATTTGAAAATCATTAAATTGTGAAAATTTTTTGAAAATAATGAAATTTTACAAAGAATGCTATTAACATTTTTAAGAATAATTGGAATGTCTGTGTGGCATTTTATTAAATTTTTTTGAAAATAATGGAATTCCTAAAAAGCAATTTTTTATTTATGAAAATAATTGAATTCTTACGAACGATTTTATTAGAATTTTTTTTAAATAATTGAATTTACAAGAAAAAATTTATTATTTTTAAAAATAATTGATTTTTGCAAAAAATTTTATTAAAATGCCTCAAATTAATTGAATTTTCAAGAATAATTTTGTTATTTATCTTTAATAATTGAATTCTTTCGTAGAATTATTTATGTAAATAATTGAATTCTTAGGAAGGATTTTATTAAAATCTAAAAGAATAATTGAATTATTTCAAAAAAAGTTAATTAAAATTGAATTCAAATAATTTATTTTGTTCGCAAAATTTTATTAAAATATCTTAAAATAATTGAATTTCTTGGAAAAATTCTAAAATATTTTTGTAAATAATTTAATTCTTCTAAAGAATTAAAAAAAAATATTTTTTTGAAATAATTGATTTTTTGAGGAATTGAAATTAATTTTTTTACATCAATTACATTTTTTAAGCATTTCCTATAAAATTGTATTAAAAATAATTGAAATCCTGCAATGATTTTTATTATTTTTCAAAATAATTGAATTCCTAGTAAGAATTTTACTATTTACCAAAATAATTGAATTCCTGAGAAGAATTTTATAATTTCTGAAAATAATTGAATTATTGCGAAAAATTTTATTAAAATAATTATTTTAAATAATTGAATTCTTGTGAAAAACTGTATTTTTGAAAATAATTGAATTTTTCGATTAATTAATTTAAAATACATAGTATTAAAAATAATTGAAATTCTTCGATTTTGTTTTAAAAATTGAATTTCTATTAAAAATGTTATTATTAGTGAAAGTAATTGAATTATTGTGAAGAATTGTATTAAAAATTTGGTGAAATAATTGATTTTTCTAAATTTTTTTGAAATTACTATTAAATTCCTGTGAAAATTTTATTATTTATGAAAATAATTGAATTTTAAAAAAAATTTGATCAATTTTAATGATATATAAATGTGTTTTAATGTAAATTTTTATGTTGATTTGTTATATTTAAATTTGAAATGTAGCAGACAGTTTCGCGCGCTGTTGCCGGATCGATAAAAAATGGCGGCGCTGTCGGCGCCGCCGACTTCAGTTTGTTACGGGCATTTCAGAGTGAAAGAGTGTGTGAGTGCGCGGTCCTGACGTTTTTCGCGACGATCAGCGGTAAGTTGAATTTATTTACAAGTCATACAACAATAGTTACATAATTCTCACGCCTGAAACATTTACCTGTGTGTCGGTAAACATTTAATATTGGAAACAGTGTTAAATCTCATTAAAACTAGGTGCTGTCTCCCACGCAGTTTTTAGGACCACCCTGTCGTCTTTTCAGGGCTATTTCATTTTGTCACTGGTTTATATTCTATATTTTTCTCATTTTACAAATAAATGACATTTAATTTTCACGATCAATGATTGTGACTGTGAGCTATATTTAAATCTTATTAGAGCAATAATGTAGAAACTTCTTGTTGAACTTTTATAATTTAGTTTTACTCTTATGACTTATATGTTACACATCTTCTGTAACAAAAAAACAATCATTTCTAATTCATGATTAATGATTTAACTATTTAACATTTTTTACATATATCTGGAAAATGAGTAAAGTTTTTTTGCACATTGTGGTTAAAGAATTGAATTGCAAACTAACCTCAATCGTGCACATTTATTAGCACTGCATATATTGCAATATGACAGTTTGCAATTTTATTTTCTTTCAAATTAAGGTTGTTGATGTCAAAAGAACAAATGATTTAAATTTACCTCACTATTTTTGTCCACTAAAAGTGAAATTTTTTAATATCGACAGTTTTAATAAATTCTGTTTAATCTTTTGCCCTGATCGAGCTGTCATTCTATTTTTTTTTTATTTTTTAAATACATTATAATTACTATAAGATTCTTTAGTGATGTCTACTGGTCCTGGAATTCCTGGAAATGTACTGGATTTTCAACTTTTGTCCTTGAATTTTCCATATTTTGCATTAAAATATTCAATAATTAAAAAATGTTACTCAAACTTAAAAAATAATTCCAATTTGTCGTTTGATTAAAAAAGTAGGTAGGAAAATGAAAAATTTGTCGGGGAAATGTCAGGGAATTTTGAAAATGAAATTTTCCATCCTATTATTACATATTAATTTTATAATTTTTAACATTAAAAAAACGAACTACTTAAAAATAAATATTTAAAAAATAATATAAAAAATTAGATTTCTTTGATTTTTAAAAAAAAAAATTATCATTTTTATCAGCCCTAATTTACAATGCATTAATTTGAAGATGAGTCGGAAAAAATACCCAAAATTATTATGTTTTCAATAATTAGTGAATATGTTTTGTTAAATCTATTGCTTCTGTTGAATTTGCTTCCGCTTATGAGGAAGCCTTCTTTAAATTCATCTCGAGATGATTAAAATTTTACTTCCAATTTAAAATCATATAATAAGTTCCGTAAGGTGACTAGTCGAGAACCAGTTTTTCTGAAAGGATCACCCTATCCCGTTACGTATTTTCATTAAATATATATATAAATGTCGGATGCTAAAAGAAAAATCCGTCGTTTAGCTTAATTCCTAGGCTTTAAGCTAAATGCGGGCGAATAGGAAAATTTACAAGTAAAAGGTATGATTATTCTTTTAATCACTTGAATTCTTCAGTCTATACGCCTAAAGTACGACCAGCGAATAGAAAAATTTAAACATTTATAATAAATTACAATGATACATTATACAGATTTTTTTGTCCAATTGTCTTTATAAATAATAAAATTCTTCTTCGACATTGAATTATTTTCCAAAAACTCAATAAAATTCTTGGCAAAATTTCAATTATTTTCAAAAATTTTCCTCATTTCAATTATTTTTAATGTCTACTATTTTAATAAAATTTTCCAAAAGAATTCAATTATTTATAAGCAAAATTTTAATATAAATTTCACAGGAATTCAATTATTTACCAATATTTTTAATAATTTCTTCGCACCAATTCAATTATTTATAATTTTTTAATAAAGTTTCTTCTAAGAATTCAAATATATTCAGAGAATTGAAAAAAAATAGTTATGTGAAAATCAATTATTTCGCAAAATTTAAATAAAATTCTTTTAAAAATTCTATATTCTTTAAAAAAATTTTGACCAAATTCATAACAAGATTTACTTAATAAAATTGCAATTTTAATAAAATTTTCCTATACAATTTAATTATTTTTTCAATACAGTTCTTCTTAAGAATTCAAATATTTAAAAAAATTGAAATAAAATTATTCGCAAGAAATCAATTATTTTCATAAATAATAAAATTCTTCGAAGCAATTTAATTATTTAAGAAATTTTAATAAAATTCTTTTCCAAAATAAACATTTTCACAGGAATTCAATTATTTTAAAAAAAAATTTTTTTAAATTTTGGCCCCTAAACGTACCATATTTTGAAAATTTCCCCTAAATTTTCCTTATTTTTTTCGTCGCAGGAAATCAATTATTATCAATAATTTTTAAGTAATTCTGCAAAAGAATTCAATTCTCTTGATGAACAACAAAATCGCATAAATTCTTCCCATAAAATCAATTATTCTAAGGAATTTAAATAAAATTCTTTTCCAAAATTAAATTATTTTGATACATAAATATCAATATTCATCACAAGAATTCAATTCTTTTGAAAAGTTATAAAATATTTTGCAGAAATTAAATTATTTTCAAAATTTTTTCAAAATTCTTCTGAAGTCAATTATTTAAAAAAATTTTAATAAAATTCTTCTCATGAATTTAAATGTTTTCAAAAATTATTAGGATTTAAATTCTTCTCAGGAATTCAATTATTTTTAAAAAAATTGAATAAAATTCTTCAAAAATTGTTGTAAAATTCTTTAATATAATAAATTTTATTTAAATTTTAATTAAATTCCTTAAAAGAAATGAAATATTTTCAAATGTTGTTAAAGCAATTCTTCGTAAAAATGAAATTTTAACAGCATGTGCAACTGTTACAGAAATCAATGTTAATTTTTTCGACCACTTTTCTCTTAAAATATTAAATAAATTAAGCTAGTTTTTTGTGAATAACTCTAAAATATAATAAAGAAGAGCAGTGATGTGCAAAAGTTTTAATAATTCTAAAATAAATTATAAAAAAATACTTTGAAATCGGAAAAGACGAGAAATTGATTGAAAGTGATTTTGAGAACTGATAATTTTAAAGTTATTTTTTAATAAATAATGTTAAAAATATTAAAACTTTTTCACATCACTGCCCTTCTTTATGATATTTTAGAGTAATTCACAAAAAACTAGCTTAATTTATTTAATATTTTAAGAGAAAAGTGGTCGAAAAAATTAACATTGATTTCTATAACAGTCACATGCTGTTAAGAAACATTCAATATTATTTATTTTTGTATTTAAATAATTGATTTCTCGTAGAATTAAATTTTTGTTTTTCGTACTTTTAACTAACAATTCTGTAAAATTCATTTTTTTGAAAAAGTTTAGTTGAATAATAATTGATCTTATTGATTTAAAGTAGAATTTTAGTTAAAAATTCTAGAAAATGTTAATTGAATTGAAATGATACAAATAATTTCGAAGAAATTACAGTAACAATATTCTTATAATAATAAACTAATAATTTTCTTTTGCAGATACCTTTGATAACATCCAGATTTCTATTTAATGACATGACCTTTTTATACAAAATTTTGAATGGTAAAATTGATTGCACATTATTATTGTCATTGATTTAATTGTCAGTTCCTATTCGAGGAACCAGAAATTTTACGTTATTTTTTTAATCTTTTCACAGAACTAATTATGGATATCATTCGATATTTAATAGACTTAGTAAAGAGGCTAATGAACTTCCAAATTGCATCGACTTTTTTGATAGTAATTTTACTAGATTCACCGCATTATTACGTAAAAATATACTAAAACCATTGTAGTAGGGTCGGCTTAGTTAATATAAATTAGATAAGTTACTTGTATGTTACAAGATTATGTAACTTTTTTTTGAGTATATTTAATAATTTTTAGAGTGAATCAGAATATTCTTTAGGGTCAGGGAAAAATATAAGTCAAAGTTGTGTTTGAAAATGAGGGAAAAGTCAGGGAAAAATAAAGTTAAATTTTTGTGGCAACCCTGTATAAATAAATTATATTTTTATCTTTATTTAACCAATTTTTATGGTCCTTCAAAAGTCCCCTATTTTTTAATTTTCAGTACCCTATTTTCCCTAAAATACTTTTTAGGGGCACTGTGAAGCCTGTAATAATGCATCTAACAAATCTTGAAAGTTATTAGAGAGTTGATATTTATTAGTAAAGATCATGACCGTTACTACAGGAGTAATTTATCTCGTACATGTCATACAATTACGAAAAAAAATTCGATACGAAATGATTGAGGAGTTTTTCTCTTTCTTTTTCGTTTATACTTATAGAAGAATTACGCACAACGGCTCTCTCGCGATACTCGATGTAAATTTTGCGTGTATAAAAACACACGTGTGCAATTGCTCACGTGCTACTCACACAAATACACATTATAGCAATATTAGAGAGCCAGATTTTTCCTCTGTATTTGTTTCCTATTGGTGTATAATTGAATGAGGCAAGGTGAATGTGCTGCGGGCGGCCGAGTGCAGCCACCTTGCCTCGCACTCTCTCAAGAAGCGTCGCGTTGCGTCGTCGATTCGCCGGTTGCACCGGCTCTGCTCTCTTAATACTACTCTCGTTTTGAAAACAATTTTTTTCGTTGTTCGCGTTTTTTCAATCTCATTCCGCAGGTGTTTTCCTTTTTTTTTCTTTAAAGCAAATTCATGAGAACCGGCCCTGGACCGGTTTTTGTCGCATCTTTCATTTTAAAAGTAGTAATATATCTCTCAAGAAAGCATTTTTTATCAAACTTGGTACGCATAACACTTTAGATTTATTGCGCGAATCAAGTGAATTATCAATTATTTGTTATTTCGAGAAAACACACCTTGTAAATAGTGCATCATTATTTTTTCCGGATAGTTTAATATTTATTATTATTAAAATCTTTTTCCAAAAGAAATGGGAATTCGTTTCTTGTGAATTGTGAATTTTTCTCTGAATTTATTTTCTTCTAGTAAAAAAGTTAAGATTATACTGACAATAATCAAAGGTGAATTTTGTAAAAGGACTCTTTTCTATTGGACTTTATCGCGATATCGATTCACAATTAAAATACTATGCTGGACGAATATATTTTCAAGATTTGTGCTATTTACAATAACTGTTACAACAATTAGTTGTTTATTTTTATTAATATAATATTTTCAAAAATTATTATATTGTAATGAAAATAATGTAAACAACTCCTCATATGTGACGTAAAGGTGTCACATTTCTCCGATAATATAGATACATAGTTGAGACTCGAGAGTCGTGAGACTTGATTCTTTCATTATCATCATCATCATCATCATCAAAGATTAGTTTGTCTCTTTTCAAATGTAACACCTCAAGATTATTCGAGGTATTGTTTTACTGAATAATATCAATGAACACATAATGATTTTATAATATTCTTGAAAGAATATTATAATTATTATCCTATTATTTTTTAATAGGAATTCAGAAGATGGGAGATTCGATGAACATTTGAATTATGAATGTTGAAAGCACAGAGGTTAGAGGACGAGTAAGGATGAATTTATTTTAAAGGGACATGTCCTGACTAGCGCTAATTAACATATTCTAGTACCCTTACTAGGATCCGTTAATTAAGAGAGAAGATTCTAAAGCGAATATAGTTGCATCTCGTTAAAATTTTCTTGTGGTTGTAAATAAACAATTTTTTGAAAAAAGGATAAATAATAGTGCGAAAATCGTGTTTCGGAGTGGGGATAAAACAGGTGTCGTGCCTCGTTGTAAATAAATATAAAGATCAAGATATGGAATACTGCCCTTACGATGGTCGTGGTTACGTCATCGGAAATTGCAGTTGTTGAGGATTTTTCAAAGGATACTCTTGGCAGGTACGATAGTAACTTACTGTCCCAGACTAATAAAACAATTATTTTTGATGATATTTGTATTAATAAAATACTAATATGGCAATAATTGTGTCTATATAATCAAGGATATAGAAAATAATGATAGAATTATTACTTTAACAGGGTGGCCACATGTCAGTAAAGTCAGGGAAATGTCAGGAAAAATTTTTTTGTCAGGGCAATTAAAGAAATTAAGACGATCATGCAATACATTTTTTGCTCTAAACAAAAAAATTTTTATCAGGGAAATTCGTTTTTATGTCAGTAAAAGTCCGTTTTTTTTAAAAACAAGGTCCGTAAAGTCCGTAATTTGATTGAGAAAAGACATAAAAAGTTCGTAAATTGTATACGATATAATTTGGAGAATTTTAGAGAAATTACAAATGATTGCAGAAATTCAATTATTATTTTCAAAAGTAATAAAATTCTTTCCAAAAATTCAATTACGTTCAACATTATTTTCGTTCAATTATTTTGAAAAATAATAAAATTCATTGCAGGATTTCAATTATTTTTAATACAATTTTACAGGAATTGCTCAAAAAAATCTAATTATTCATACAAATTTAATTTCAATTCCTCGAAAAATTAATTATTTAAAAAAATGTTTTTTTTTAAATTCTTTAAAAGAATTCAATTATTTACAAAAATATTAAAATTTTTCAAAGGAATTTAATTATTTTAAAATATTTGAATAAAATTTTGCGAAAGAAATAAATTATTTAAATTTAATTTTAATTAATTTTTTTTTTAAATAATTCAATTATTCTTTTAGATTTTAATAAAATACTTTCTAAGAATTTAATTATTTACATAAATAATTCTTTGAAAGAATTCAATTATTAAAGATAAATAACAAAATTATTTCTGAAAATTCAATTATTTTGAAGCTTTTTAATAAAATTCTTTGCAAAATTCAATTATTTTCTTATAAATAACAATATTCGTCACAAGAATTTAATTATTTTTTAAAGTAGTAAACTTTTTCTTGGAAATTCAATTATTTAAAAAAATTCTTATAAAATCGTTCGCAAGAATTCAATATTATTTGCATAAATAAGAAAATGGTTTTTAGGAATTCAATTATTTTCAGAAAAAATTTAATAAAATGCCACACAGACATTCAATTATTCTCAAAAATTTTAATAGAATTCTTTGTAAAATTTAATTATGTATTTTTAAAATTTTTTCACAATAATAAAAATTTTACAGGAATTCAATTATTTTCATAAGTAATAAAATTTTTAAAGGGATTCGATTATTTTCGTAAATAATAAAATTGTCTTTAGGAATTCAATTATTTTTATAAATAATAAAACTCATTGCAGAATTTCTATTATTTTTAATTCAATTTTAGTCGAATTCCTCGAAAAATGTGGTAAGTATTCTTAAAATTTTTTATTAAAATTCTACAAAAGAATTCAATTATTTAAAAATTTATGTTATTCTTTATAAGAATTCTATTTTAAGAAACATGCAATCATTCAATAAATTATTATTTGTTTTTAAATAATTGAATTCCTAGTAGGATTTTTTTAATAAAAATTGATTTAAAAGTGGATTTCAGTTAAAATTTTAGATTATAATTGAATATTAAAAGAAATTAGAGCGGGAATTTATAGAAGTAATTGAATTTAGAAAATCTAATTTTTTTATATTTTTAACTAATAATTTTGTGGAATTAATTTTTTTGAGAAAGTTTAAATGCGGATTTTTTTCGAAATTATTTTATTCCAATTTACAAATATTTGGAAATTTGTAAAATTAAATTGTAAACAAATGAATTTAAAAATTCTCAAAGAACTTTTCCAAAATTATTAAAAATAATGCATTTATAGAAGAATTATAGTTAAAAACATCTAAAAAAATTTAATTTTGGAAAAGTTACAAATTATTGCAGAAATTCAATTATTTTCAAAAGCAATAAAATTCTTCTTACAAAAGTTCAATTATGTTCAAAATTTAAAGAAAAATTCTCGTCAAAATCACAATTATCTTTATAAATAACAAAATTCTTCTCCAAAATTTAATTATTTTCAAAAATTTTCCTCATTTCAATGATTTTCAATATCTACAATTTTAATAAATTTCTTAAAAGAATTTAATTATTTTAAAAAAATTTTAATAAAATTGTACTCAAATATTTAATTATTTTCAAAAATAATAAAAATTGAACATGAATTCAATTATTAAAATTTTTTTATAAATTTCTTCGCAATAAGTCAATTAATTTCATAAATAATAAATTTTTTTATGAATTGAATTATTATTGTAAATAATAAAATTCTTCTTAGGGATTCAATTATTTTCACAAATTATAAAATTCATCGTAGAATTTCGATTATTTTTAATACAATTTTAATCACATTTTTCGAAAAATGTATAATTATTCTTAAAAAATTTATTAAAATTCGTCGAAAGAATTGAATTATTTAAGAATTTGTTGATGAAACTCTTTTTGGACATTGAATTTTAAAAATCATTCAATTATTCAATGAATTATTAACTTTGGTATTTAAAGAATTGAATTCTAGTAGAATTTTTTAATGAAAATTGATTTGAAAATGAATTTTAGTTATAATTTTAGATAATAATTGAATATTAAAAGGAATACAGCGTGAATTTTTAGAAATAATTGAATTTTGGAATTAATTTTTTTGAGAAAGTTTAATTGCATTTTTTTATATTAATTGAATTTTTTATTTTTTTAATGTATATTTAATTGAAGAATTTACGAATAATTGAAATTTCATAAAATTGAATACTGTAAACAAATTGATTTGAAAATAGTCAAAGAACTTTTTCGAAAATTATTAAAAATTTGAACTAATAAAAGATCTAATCAATCAAATCTACATGGATTGTAAAAAAAATCTACAAAAAAACTAAATTTTGCGGAGTGGAAAGTGATATGAACCTTTAGTTCATTGAAGGTGACTTTTTAACATTTCTTTGGATTGGATACAAGAAGTTGGTATAATTACAATTTCTGCAGAATATGTATATTCAATTATTAAACAGCTCTCAGTCCGGAACGAACGTTGCTCTAAACTAGTTGTTGCTGTAATATTCACTGTTCACGACCTGATTTTACTTCCGATCTTATCTTCCAGGCAGCGTTTTCATTTTTATAATCAAAAGATTTTTGCTAATGATGGCAATTCATGTTTATAATAGTGCTGGAGAATATTTTCGAACAGGCACAGATTTAATGTCTATGATATTATAGATTATGAAATTGTTATTACAAACTATACTATGATTTACAAAATTTGTGATTCAGTGCAATATTTAAAATTTTTGGTTACATAAAAACTGCACTGAATTCCCTGATAAATGTTCAAATTGCGATCAGAAAAAGAGAAAAGTAATGTGAACGATTAAAAATTTAATTTAAGCTAAGAACCAAAAATTATAAGTATTGTCGGCCAGTAGAGTAGCTTATAAAAACCCTTTTGCTTTCTCGACTTCAAGTGAGCGTAGCAGAGTGGTCAGAAAGTACTTACTACCAATCAAATCAAGAAACAAAATTATTTGAATACCTAAGTAATTTTTAACTTTTGAGAATTTATAATAATCCCTGAATATAACTGTAGAAAGAAATATTTTCTCCATCACTTGAAATGTTTCTTAGAAAAGTTAATCTTTTTACAAAAATAATCTTGTCATTATCCTCGAACATCGTATTTCTCGTGAAGATCTTAACCCTGGTACATGTCATGACCTCTTCTTGGCCTTGTAGTTCCTTGCGGTTATACTTGAATAAATCTTTCTTATGCAAGAAACACTTCCGTCGAGAGTGGAATTATTTGCTACCATCGTCGTTAGGGAATATTATAAAACTTATGTATGATTGTACACCTATAACTATGTTTTTAACTATACATATATTCTGACCACCTTTAATAGTAATGGAATAACAATGTGATATCAGTCATTAGAATAATTTTATAAAACAAATTCTTGATGAAGTAACTGGAAAATTTTGTGTCTTTTGATCAAGAATAAATAATAATAATTTAGACAAAATTCAATGTTTCTTCTAAATGTCACATATAATGATAAAAAGGTTGTGTTGTGTTTTTCTGCAATAGAAACTGCAATGCAATAAAATATATAAAATGTGCGATCGCATTTGAAAGTTAAAGCATGTTTCCTCAAGTCTGAATTTTATAAACTGGGTTATAACCTAGATATAATGGGTTATAATTGCAATTTATAGTCTTTCTGAGGCAAAATAAATCTTTATGACATCCTTCAGTATATGTATAGGTACAAATTAATAGAAATTCGTGGCAAATATATGAAAAACCTGTTGCCGTTTTCAAATTTGACTACCGCTTGAAACTTTCATCTTCTCTCTAAATTTGAATCGGCGATAAGTATACAACTGATTTCAAATAGCGTATATTTGTTAATAAATCAGTGAAATTTCACTGATTCATCAGAATATATATTCGCTGATTGAAATCAGTGGTATGTGGATAGTTCTACAAACGAGGGAATATATGATGTCCAAGGTTGTTTGTTATATTAATTTTTGAAACAAATAAAATTATTTTCAATGGGAACTGTAGAGCTTAATGATTTCTATTATGCCACAAAACGTTACCCGGTTTCAAATTTTTTTTTTGCATAAAATAATCATTCAAGTGCTAAATTCTCAGTTTTCTGGCATGCCCCAATGTAAAAGTGAAAGTCCCCTTTTTTTAATTTTGGCACCTGAACGTACCCTATTTTGAAAATTTCCCCTAAATTTACCCTATTTTTTTGTCGCAGAAAATCAATTATTTTCAATAATTTTGAAGTAATTTTGCAAAAGAATTCAATTATCTTGATAACCAACAAAATTCGCCCCATAAAATCAATTATTTTAAGGATTTTTAATTAAATTCTTTTCCAAAATTCAATTATTTTAATAAATATCAAAATTCTTCTTAAGAATTCAATTATTGTCACAAATCTTAATTCAATTCTTGGCAAAATTTCAAATTATTTAAATAAAATTTAATAAAATACTTTGCACGAATTCAATTATTTTTATAAATTTTAATGCATATCTCGTCAAGAATTCAATTATTTTTATAAATAGCAAAAATTTTCCCCAAAAATTCAATTATTTTCAAAAATTTAAATAAAATTCCTTGCAACATTTGAATTATTTTTCAAAAGTTTTTCGCAATTCAGTGTTTTTAAATATTTACTATTTTCATAAAATTTATCAACAAATTTAATTATAGAAAAAACTTGTTGATACAATTCTACGAAAAGATTCAATTATTTTCATAAATAATAAAATTTCATTTACGAATTCAATTATTTTCATCGCAGAATTTCAAATATTTTTAATACAATTTTAAATAAATTCCTTGAAAAATGCAATTATTTTTTTAAAATTTTATTAAAACTTGAGGAAAGAATTCAATTTTAAGAAAAATTCAATTATTCAATAGAACAATAAAATTCGTTGCAATAATTCAAATCATTTCATAAATAATATTTAATTCGTCGCAGAAAATCAATTATTTTCAAAAAATTTTAAGTAATTTTGCAAAAGAATTCAATTATCTTGATAAACAACAAAATTGCATAAATTCATCCCATAAAATCAATTATTCTTAGAAATTTTAATAAAATTCTTTTCCAAAATTCAATTATTTTGATAAATATCAAAGTTCATCACAAGAATTCAATTCTTTTGAAAAGTAATAAAATACTTTGGAGAAATTAAATTATTTTCAAAATTTTTTAAAAATTCTCGTCAAGAATTAAATTATTGTCAAAATTTTTTTTTAAATTCTTCTCAAGAAGTCAATTATTTTCAAAAATTTTAATATAATTCTTCTCATGAATTCAATTGTTTTCAAAAATTATTATTTAAATTCTTCTCAGGAATTCAATTATTTTTAAAAAATTGAATAAAATTCTTCAAAAAGTTTGCAATTATTTTCAAATTTTTTAACTTAAAGAATTGAATAATTTAATTTAGAAATTCGGGAAAAATTTCTTTCTTGAAGATATTATGTAATTAGAATTTTTTAAAGTTAATTGTATTTCTGAAAATAATTTTCAAAAATTGAAACAATTGAAATTTTTGTCAAATTTCATTGAAATAAATTTAATGTTTTAATGGATTTTATTTGTTTACTTTTTAAAATTATTTTGAAATGTAATTGTATTTTTGAAGAGTTCTAATTAAAAATTTGGAAAATAATTGAATTTTAAAAAAAATTTAGAATATAATTTTGAATATAACAATTTGTTTGTTTAAAAGAAAATTGTGACTTTTTTTTAAACAAGTTATCATATTTTCAAAAAAATTTTCTGAAAAATATAAACCTTTTTAAATTAAAATCCAATCATAACAAATTCTATAGATGCGGATATGGTAAAAAATTTATATTATACAAATTGTAGAAAAAAAATTTTTTTTATACATTTTCTTTTTATATTATAGTTATTGATGTTTTCAAAAATAAATCCGGGAATATTTCATTTTTTGGTTGAAAACATGAAATTAAAAATTATCTTAAAAAAGTAGCAAAATATAATAATATTTCAATTTCTCATATTTTTTTTAGAATCGTGGCAAAAAAACTGAAGAACGATTACACTTACATTTTTATGACTTTTCAAGAATTTATTGTTTACATTTAGTTTTAGTCACAAAAAGTTGAAGAATAACCCATAATAAGTTACACTTTTTTACAAATTCTGTAAAATTTTTTAATTGGCCATCTCCCTCGGACTTATTCTAATAGCAGTTTAACTTACAATGTTTCGAAGAAACCTTAAATAATAAATATTTTGATTTTTTTCCGTTTTGATGTAACTGCCTTGAACATCTTTAGGTTTATGATTGAACATTTTTGTAACAGCCTTTTTATAAAATTTGTGATTTCCAAGAAATTGTCTTTTTTTTACACATCTGAAAATTGATTGCGTGGTAAATAATCCATATGTTTCATTCAGTGATAATTTTTGTTGAAAGTATTTTATATTTTTTATGTAAATATTCTGTACTTCAGTTTCAAATTTACTTATTTTAATATTATTATAATTGAATATATTTTTTATTTATTTAAAACGAAATTTATGGACAACTTTTTTGTAATAAAAAATAAAATTTTGTTTCAAGGAAGGAAACTTTAATATCATACTTTTACGCTTACCAGCCATAATGATTGCAATGGCCGCAAAATAAAAGTTTGAATACACCACACTGCCACACTCATTATATATTTGAAATAAATTCACATTTATTAAAGTAATTTTTTACGATATGTTGGATTATTTTTTTCTCTTTTTGAGAAGTTACATTATTTTTTTAACTTCTAGAAAAGTTAGTAAATTATTTACAAATGGCAATCGTAATCGCTTTGAAAATTTTAAGAACTAGTCAGTTATGAGTCAATCAACTGTTTACACAGTTTACGTTGCTTGTAAAATATACCTGCGACATATCGAAGAAAAATAAAAAGTGGGGGACTTAAGTTGCTGTGTTGGCGCGTGACCTGTATGTTTATTAGAATTATTTTTTACAAAGTTAAATTGATATTAGAGAAAAAATTTTTGTTGTCAAGAAATTTAAGAAAATTTAGACTTTTTTCAAAAATTGCGACTTTTTCGACTTTTCTTTTGAATATTGCAATAAAATACCACAATTTTTAGTAAAAAAAAGTGAAACTTTCTTTGATTTTTATAATGCGAAAAATAACTATAAACAAATCTTTCAAAAATTGGTTTTAAATCCTTTTTAAGATAATTAAATTTTTCAAATATATCTATAATAATTGAATAATTGAAATTTTGTACAATTTGATTGAAAATAATACATTTTTTTCAAGTATTTTTTTATAATTTTTGAAAATCAACTATTGAAAAATTTTATTGCAAATTTTGAAAAGAATTGAATTATCAAAAATGTTAATGATGTAAATTTAAAAATGAAAACTAAAGAAAATTAGCTTTTAATTTTTTAAAGTTCAATATTTTAAGTATTTTTAATTACATATTTCCGAAAATTCAAATATATACAAAAAATAATAACATTTTAGAATATATTTTTAACATTTTGGAGCAAAAAATTATGCAATTAGCAATTATTATTATTTTTAAAAGTTTTTTGCAAATCAATGTTTTTAAATATTTACTATTTTCATAAAATTTATCAACAGACTTAATTATAGAAAAAAAATTGTTGATACAATTCTACGAAAAGATTCAATTATTTTCATAAATAATAAAATTTAATTACGAATTCAATTATTTTCATAAATAATAAAATTTAATTACGAATTCAATTATTTTCATCGCAGAATTTCAAATATTTTTAATACAATTTTAAATAAATTCCTTGAAAAATGCAATTATTATTAAAAATTTTATTAAAACTTGAAAGAATTCAATTTTAAGAAACATTCAATTATTTAATGAAACAATAAAATTCGTTGCAATAATTCAAATATTTTCATAAATAACATTTAATTCGTCGCAGAAAATCAATTATTTTCAAACATTTTTAAGTAATTTTGCAAAAGAATTCAATTATCTTGATAAACAACAAAATTGCATAAATTATTCCCATAAAACCAATTATTCAAAGGAATTTTAATAAAATTCTTTTCCAAAATTTAATTATTTTGATAAATATCAATATTCATTACAAGAATTCAATTAAATTATCTTTATAAGTATATAGGGAAATTCTTCTCAAGAATTAAATGATTGTCAAAATTTTTTTTAAGTCTTTGAGTGTTCTTTGTGAGATAGGGACTTGAATTTTTGCTAATTGAGTATTTTTGGAGATAGAATTCTCCTAAAAACTTTGTGCCAAATTGGTATCTTCTTTCCCTATAGGTACATTATTTTTTGTGTTTTAAATATATAAAGTTTTTTAAATATAAAAAAAATTTTAATTAGAATTTTTTTCTTATAATATATTAGAAAAGCTTTTTGTAAACTAAAAGTATATTATTAATTTTGTAAATTAATTTACTGTTTATAATTTATAAAAAAAGTCTTGTAAAGGTGGCAGGAGACATAAGATACGTCTGTCTACTGGCATAAGGCGAAGAGAAAAATCAATGAATTTCCATTTTCTCGTGCAAACAGACTGCGGAAATCATGACTGACGGCGAGGCTTCGGGTTAAACTTTTTTTTTACTTGAATACTTCTATTGTCTTATGATAATTAATTTTTATTTTTGCACGTTCAGAAGAAAAGTAAAAATATTTTAAAAGAAATTTTTAAAAAATTTGTTTATATTTATATTTTTTTTTTCAACTTTTGAAGTTTATTTAAATTAAATCTCATTTCTGTAACGAAAACTAAACCAGAAGAATTTTTTTTTAAATTTTAAATCAAGGAAAATGAGAGTAATAGGTCATTACAATAATTCGGTAAAACTATTTTTATAAAAATAATATATTTTTATAATTATAATTTTTTTACAATATTTTTTTTAGAAAAAGAATTGTTTATGCGGCTTTAAGAGGAGAAAATTATTTTTTTTTTTAAATTTTCATTGGATTAGATTTACAGAACTATATTGGCTCTTATCGTTTGGTGATTTTTTAGGTTTTTAGGTTTTTTAGGACTATAATTTAGTTGATTTTTTTTATTTGAACCAAAAAGTAAAGTCAAAGGTAGGCACTAAAAAGATTTTAAAGAATATGTAATTTAATAAATGCTTCTCTCTGTTTTAAGCTCAAAAAATGAATTTTTTCATTTAGTTGAAAATTTTGGAAAATTATTTGTTTTTGTTGAGATAAAATTTGTAAGAAAATATTTATTCGATTGGGAAGCTGTGGTATGAAATTTCAAAGTATTAAAACCCAACCCTTGCCTTCAGTTAAATACATCCGGCTGTTAGATTGATGTCTAGCTAATTATATCTGGACCTTAATGGGTGTTCAGAATCAACAGACCAAGATAATATAATAAACGTCGCGTAACGACTTACTTTTGTTTCACAACTTCCGTAAATAAATATTATATATGTATATATATAAAAGTCAAAATTTCTTAAATGTAACAGCAAAATTTCAAATTTATACTGTATTCAATATTGAAAGCATGTAAAAAAAAGACTTCATTATAAGTTTATTAAACAGTTCAAAGAATTTTTTAAATTTAAATTTCTGAGTTACAAGCAATTAAAATTTGTTAAATGATTAATTAAAATTAATCAGGGGTTTTTATTGAAAGTACTGGAAAAAATTAAATTTTCAGAATTTATAAGAAAATTATGAATTTTTGTGTCATTTTTGTTTGCCTCATAAACTATGAAATTGACAAGAATTCTAATATAAAACCTTCAATTTTTTTCTATTTTTGACAATAACTTCTTTTTAAATAACTTAATTCTTGAAGAACTATTATAAAATTATTACTTATAAATTATTTAATGAATAATTTTACTTAAAAATTTCAAAATCAATTATTGTACAGAAATTCAATTATTAGCAAAAGTTATAAACTTCTTCGCATAAATTCAATTATGTTCAAAAATTTTTTTAAATTCTTGTCAAAATTTCAAATATCTTTATAAATAATAAAAGTCTTCTCCAAAATTTAAATATTTTCAAAAAATTTAATAAAATACTTAGCAAAATTTTAATTATTTTCAAAAATTTTCCTTATTTCAATTATTTTAAATATCTACTATTTTAATAAAATTTTCCAAAATTTTGATAATTTTAAATTTTTTTACCAAAGGGTGGAGACTATTAAATAAGTAAAGTATTTTTGAAGAGCCCAAAAATATTGTAGCTAAATGCCATAAAAGAGAAGAGAAAATATTGAATTTTAAAAACATTGGTTTTTCGAATTTTTGATAACTTTTGATAATTTTAGATTTTTTACCAAAGGGTGGAAATAATTAAATAAGTAAAGTATTTTTGAAGAGCCCAAAAATATTGTATCTAAATGCTATAAAAGAGAAGAAAAAATGTTGATTTTTAAGAAATTTCATAAAAAATAAAATTCCTTGGACCAATTCAATTATTTAAGAAATTTTAATAAAATTCTTCCCAAGAATTCAATTCTTTTTAATAATAAAATTTTGCACATGAAAATTATTTTTCATTTTTTATTGAAATTTCTTAATAAAATTTAATTATTTTCAAAAAGTTCTAAAAAATTTTGAGAAATTAAATTATTTAAAAAATTTTTGAATAAAATTCTTTACAAGAAATTAATTTTTTTTATAAATAATAATAATATTGTTCTCCGGAATTCAATTATTTTCACAAATAAAATTCTTCACAGGAATTCAATTCTTTAAAAAAATTTTTAATAAAATTCGTTGCAAGAATTCAATTATTTTCAAAAATAACAAAACTTATCGCAGAATTTCAATTATTTTTTATACAATTTTAAGTTGCATTTATTCTTAAATTTTTTTTTAAATTCACCGAAAGAATTCAATTATTATTTTTAAAAATTTTGATAGAATTCTTCATAAAAATTCAATTTTAAGAAATGTTCAATCATTTAATAAATTATTTATTTTTCTATTTAAATAATTTAATTCTCAAAAAATCTTCTACTAAAAATTGATTAAAAAATGAATTTTACTTAAAATTTTAAATTATAATTGAAATTTATTAAAAGCATTATAGCGTGAATTTTTAGAAATAATTGAATTTTCAAGAGGGTTCAAATTAAAATCTTTGAAAATTTAAATTTATAGTTACAATATTCTTATGATATAAAATAATGTTTTATATCATGTTTTATAATAATATTCTCGTAGGTTATTGAATTTCAGAAGGTTTGAAATTGAAAATTTTAATTCCTGTAGAAAAATAATAATTATTAAATATTTATTTTAAAAAGAAGTTATTGATGTTTTCGAATAATTTTACAATTAAGGAAATTTGTAAATAAATGTAATAGAACATTTTTTGAGTATCTAATAAATTTTGGAGTGAATCAGAATATTCTTCAGGGTTCAGGGAAAAAGAGAAAATTTTGTCTGGAAGTCAGGGAAACACAAAATTACATTTTTGTGGCAACTTTGTAAATTGTTTAAATTTATTAACTTTAAAGATATAAAAACAAAGCAAACTTTAAAATAATAAAAATGTAAATTTAGAAAATTTACAACATGGAATATAAAAAATATTTTTTACTAAAATATCTTATAATTCATTTTATTGCACTCTTCTATGACATTTACAATCTAATTTATCGCTGAATAATAATAAAGTATTAATTAATATTATCTTCTTAATATTGCTATTAATTAAATATAAATTATTGTTTATAAGGATGCTTTTAAGAAATATAAATCTCATACTTATTTTCTAATGAAAAATATAGGAATGGACGGAATATGATAAGGTTCACTTTTCCTTATAATCTTATAATTAATGAAAAGTACACAAAAGTCGTCGATTTACACTTTTAACTTATTATACAATTTTATAATTATAAAATTTATAATTTATATTAATAATATGGAATTTTTTCTAATCAATTGATTAGAAAAAAAGTATTTAAATTAATTTGTGTAATTCACTATCTTAAGTATATGTGTGTTACTTTATGTGAAACTGTTTTTAAAATTTTTATCAGACAATTTAAATATATTTCTATTTGGATTGTTTATCATTCTGCGTTGCACATTATTATTATTATTATTAGCAAATGGAAGATTTGCATTTTGACCTCCAGTTTGTATATTATTATTATTATTGCTCGAGGGAAAAAGAGAATCAAAATTTCTAAATCCCGGCTGGCCACTGTTTGTTAACTGTGGATTGAAATTTCGATTTTCCGATTGCCTATTGTTATTATTCAATAAAGGAAAATTAAAATTTCGTCCATTGTCCAGTGGTGGTGAATTAAAATTTTGTCCTGAAGGTAAATTAAAGTTTCGACTATCAATTTGTCCATTATTCATATTTGGTGTAATAAAATTTTGGCCTGGTGGAAAATTAAAATTTCGATCATTGACTTGTCCATTGTTTACATTTGGTGGTGAATTAAAATTTTGGCCTGGTGGAAAATTAAAATTTCGATCATTGATTTGTCCATTGTTTACATTTGGTGGTGAATTAAAATTTTTGTTGGATGGAATATGAAAATTTCGACTAATGTCTGGTAATCCATTGGGATTGTTCGCAAATTGAGAATTGTAATTTAGATTCTCCGACAGTTGTCTATAATTATTCGTATAGGGATTTTGGAAATTTCTATTATCTGGTTGTCCATTATTGTTCATAAACAATGAATTATAATTCATTCCATTTTCAGACTGTGTTAATCCTGGTCCTCCATTCTTTAATACGTAATTGAAAAATGATCCCCAAGAATCAAAACCATTTCGTGCATTTGGATAATTATTTGCCAAATTTTGATTGTTTATAAGATTTTGTAATGGCTGTCCATTCTGAAATTAATATTTATTTATATTACCAAATATAATAAAAATTACTGTAAGGTTTGATATGAAGTAATAAAATTCTTCTGAGATATTCAATTATGTTCAAAAAATTTTTTTAAATTCTCGTCAAAATTTCAATTATCTTAAGAAATAATTAAATTCTTCACCAAAATTCACTTATTTGCAAAAATTTTTTTTAAATTCTTGCAAAATTTCAATTATTTTAAAAAAGTTTTCCTCAATTCAATGATTTTTAATCTCTACTGTTATAATCAAATTTTCCAAAAGAACAATATCTTTTTAAAAATTTAATAAAATTTTACCGAAACCTTTAATTATTTTTTCATAAAATAATGAAAATTTAACAGGAATTTCAATTATTTACAATTAATTATTATTCAATTATTTTCAATTAATTTCATAAATAATAAAATTTTTACAGAGAATCAATTATTTTCGTAAATAATAATAAAATTCTTTTTAGGAATTCAATTATTTTCTTAAATAATAAAACTCATTGTAGAATTTTAATTATTTAAAAAATTTTAAATTCGTTAAAAGAATTCAATTATTTAAAAATTTATTGATAAAATTCTTTATGAGAATTAAATTTTAAAAAACATTCAATTAATCAATAAATTATATTTTTTGTATTTCAATAATTGAATTTTAGTAGAATCTTCTAATAAATATTGAGTTAAAAATGGATTTCAGTTAAAATTTTAGATTATAATTAAAAATTAATAAAACGTGAATTTATAGAAATAATTGAATTTTGAAATGGTTCAAAATAAAATCTTTGAATATCTGAAATTTTCATATTTTTAACTAACAATTCTGTGGAATTCATTTTTTTGAGAAATTTTAATTTAATTTACAAATAATTGAAATTTTGTAAAATTAAATTGTAAACAAATGAATTTGAAAATTCTCAAAGAATTTTTCAAAGGATTATTAAAAATAATAAATTTATAGAAGAATTTTAGTTAAAAACATCTAAAAAAATTTAATTTTGGAAAAGTTACAAATTATTGCAAAAATTAAATTATTTTCAAAAGTAATAAAATTCTTCTTACAAAAGTTCAATTATGTTCAGAATTTAAAGAAAAATTCTCGTCAAAATCACAATTCTCTTTATAAATAACAAAATTCTTCTCCAAAATTCATTTATTTTCAAAAATTTTCCTCATTTCAATGATTTTCAATATCTACTATTTTAATAAATTTCTTAAAAGAATTCAAATATTTAAAAAAAATTTTAATAAAATTTTACTCAAACATTTAATTATTTTCATAAATATCAAAAATTGCACATGAATTCAATTATTAAAAATTTTTTATAAATTTCTTCGCAATAAGTCAATTAATTTCATAAATAATAAATTTTTTTATGAATTGAATTATTTTTGTAAATAATAAAATTCTTCTTAGGGATTCAATTATTTTCACAAATTATAAAATTCATCGTAGAATTTCGATTATTTTTAATACAATTTTAATCAAATTTCTCGAAAAATGTAATTATTCTTAAAAAATTTATTAAAATTCGTCGAAGGAATTGAATTATTTAAAAATTTGTTGATGAAACTCTTTTTGGACATTGAATTTTAAGAATCATTCAATTATTCAATGAATTATTAATTTTGGTATTTAAATAATTGAATTCTAGTAGAATTTAAAAAAAAATTGATTTAAGAATGGATTTAAGTCAAAATTTTAGATTAAAATTCAATATTAAAAGCGTTAGAGCGTGGATTTTTAGAAATAATTGAATTTTGAAATAGGTTTCAAATTAAAATGTTTGAAAATATGAATTTTTCATATTTTTAACTAACAATTCTGTGAAATTAATTTTTTTGAGAAATTTTAATTGCGGATTTTTTATTTAATTTATTTTATTTTAATTTACGAATAATTAAAATTTTGTAATTATTTTTAAAAATTTTATTAAAATTCGTCGAAAGAATTAAATTATTTAAAAATTTGTTGATTTAATTCTTTATGGAAATTGAATTTTAAGAAACATTCAATTATTCAAAAAATTATTTATTTTTTGTATTTAAATAATTGAATTCTAGCATAGAATTTTCTAATGAAAATTGATTTAAAAAGGAATTTGAGTTAAAACTTTAGATAATAATTAAATCTTATAAGCAATATGTAGCGTGAATTTTTAGAAATAATTGAATTTTGGAATTAATTTTTTTGAGAAAGTTTAATTGAATTTTTTTATATTAATTAAATTTTTTATTTTTTTAATGTATATTTAATTGAAGAATTTACGAGTAATTGAAATTTTGTAAAATTGAATATTTTAAACAAATGGATTTGAAAATTGCCAAAGAATTTTTACAAAAATTATTAAAAATAATCTGGTCTCGGGAAGTTTGAAATAAAATATTGATGTTAATTATTCAATATAATAATGTAGGTAATAATTTTAATTGTAAAATATTGTATAATCTTACCAATTGCGGCAAAACGTTTTGGACTAAATTGCTGACTTCTCCATTAGCAACGGAAAGAATTCCATAAGGTAAATGTGTCTTAATAACTTTTTCCACATCTTCAACGATTTGGGTAAAATTGATATTTTTTACACCACCTGGAATTTTGTTTAAAAAAGTGTTGACCAAGTCCCTAGCCATTTGTTGTATAACTTCTTGGGAAAATACGATGTCGAAAGATTTTTTACTTTTTGGAGATCCTATGAATAATACAGTAAATTTTTGTTATCATACAACGTATAACTTTTAAATTCTAACATGAAATATAAATTTAATACCTTAATTATAACTTCTTTGATTTTATTTGATAAAAATTTTACTTAAAATTTTACAAAAGTAACTAGTACTTGAACGGAATATATAGAAAAAAATATTTTTTTGTAAGAATTATTTATTATTATTATTATTATTATTATTATTATTATTATTATTATTATTATTATTATTATTATTATTATTATTAATTTATTAAATTATAGTTGATTACCTTGATTATCATTAGTATTTCGTGTAATAACTTTGTGTAAATCAACGACTTTGGAATTATTTTTTACGGGCGCGTTCGTGGAAATAGATATGCGCCCACTATCGGTGCTTGATTCTGTCTAGCAAAAATCAAATTTATAAATAAGTATAATATAAAATGTGAATAAGATTAAAGATTCAAATTAACAATTAGAAAATTAAAAATATTTTTAAAAATAAAAAAAGTCATACAGTTATTTTAATATTAAAATACTTTGCAATAGTATGAATATAATAACAAAGTGAGTCTCCATATTATTAGCCTTAAATAATTATAAAATACATTTTGCTCACCTGATTAGAATCAGTGGATTCAGTGATAATTTTTTCACTTGATTGTGAATAAATCTGAGGCGACGGATTTTCAATCTCAGTCGTTTGGTTTGGAATTTGGTTTTCTTGAATGTTATTGCCATTTTCAGTAAGAAATAATTCTGTATTTACTGCTTTCTTAGGTTGTGTATTTGATATTGCTTGTTGATATAGTTGTTGTTGTTGTTGTTGATTTGGATCTAGGTAACAAATTTCACCTGTTTGGCCCAATGGATTCACTTTATTGTAATCCACTGGAATTGGTTGTGTCAAAATATAATAATATGCAGGTGGATTAAATTCTTCGGCCCTTCCAAAATTTAACGATAATATTATCGTTACAGAAATCTACAAATAATTAAATTAATTAATTATTATGTTCAAAAATTTTTTTTTAAATTTTCATCAAAATTTTAATTATCCTTATAAATATTAAAATTCTTCTCCAAAATTCAATTATTTTTAAAATTTTTAATAAAATTCAATTATCTAGAGAAATAACAAAATTCTTCAAAGGTATTCAATTATTTTTATAAATAGTCTTAAAATTGTTTGCAAAAATTCAATTATTTTTAATACAATTTTAATGAAATTTCATTAAAGAATTCAATTTTCAAAAAATAATTTTAATAACATTTTTCGAAAGAATCCAATTATTTTTAATAAATCCTTCAAAACAATTCATTTATTTTTATAAGTAATAAAATTCGTCGTAAGAATTCAATTATTTTTCTTAAATAATAAAATTCATCTCAAGAATTCAATTATTTTTAATACAATTGGTAACAAATTCGATTGTACTCAATTATTTTTTAAAAATTTTAATAAAATTCAAAAATTGAATGTTTAATTTCAATTATTAAGAAATACGATTATTGTAAAAACTTGAAAGAAATTGTTCATATAAAATTCAATTACTTTGAAAATTTTCAATTAAAATTATTAAAGAAACTCAATTATTTTTTAAAAATTCAAAGAAATTCTTCAAAAGAATTTAATCAGGATTATCAAAAATTTTAATAAAAATTCTTGGCAAAATTTCAATTATTTTCAAAAATTTTCCTTAATTCAATGATTTTTAATATCTACTATTTTAATAAAATTTTCCAAAAGAATTCAATTATTTAAAAAAAATTGAATAAAATTCTACGCAAACATTTAATTATTTCCATAAAATATTAAAAATTTTACTGGAATTCAATTATTTACAAATTTTTTTTAATAAATTTCCTCGCAATCATTCAATTATTTTCATAAATAATACAATTTTTACAGAAAATCAATTATTTTGGTAAATAATAAAATGCTTTTTTGGAATTCAATTATTTTCTTAAATAATAAAACTCATTCAAGAATTTCAATTATTTTAAAATTTTTAAATTCGTCAAAAGAATTTAATTATTTAAAAATTTGTTGATAAACTTTTTTATGGGAATTCAATTTTAAGAAACATTCAATTATTCAATAAATCGTTTTTTTTTTATTAAATAATTGAATTCTAGTTGAATTTTATAATGAAAATTGATTGTATTCAATAAATTAAAGAAATTTTCCAAAAGAATTCAATTATTTTCTAAAAATTTTAATAAAATTCAAGAAATAAATGTTTAATTTCAATTATTAAGAAACACGATTATTGTAAAAACTTGAAAGAAATTGTTCATATAAAATTCAATTACTTTGAAAATTTTCAATTAAAATTATTAAAGAAACTGAATTATTTTTAAAAAATGCAAAGAAATTCTTCAAAAGAATTTAATTAGGATTATCAGAAATTTTAATAAAATTCTTTTTAGGAATTCCATTATTTTTATAAATAATAAAATTTTCACAGAAATTTAATTATTTTCAAACACAATTTTCATGGAATTTTTAGAAAAAAATCAATTACTTAAAATGCTTTTTATAAAATTCTATTCGCTTAAATTCAATTATTTAAAGAAGAAAATTAATAAAGTTCTTCGTAAGAATTCAATTATTTTTGAAAATTTTTATTAAATTCCTTGCAAAAATTCAATTTTTTATTAATCTTAATAAAATTTTTCGTATCAATTTAAGTATTTTAAATTATTCTCAAAAATGTTATTAAAATTCGTCGAAAGATCTCAATTATTTAAAAATTTGTTGATAAACAAATTATTAATTCATTTAATTATTCAATACTTCAGTTATTTTTGTGTTTAAATAAATGAATTCTCGTAGAATTTTCCAATAAAAATTGATTAAAATCTTTCAAAATATGATTTTTCATGCTTTTAACTAAAAAAATTCATTCTACAGAATTATTTTTTTTTAGTGTTAATTTCAATTCTGTTAAAATTAATAGAATTTTTTTGAATTATAATTAATTATTTCAAAAGTTTTAACGCAAATCCTCAAAAGCATTCAATTATTTTGATTAATAACAAAATTCTTCCCTGAAATTCAATTATGTTTTGAAATTTTAATAAAATACTTTGTAAAATTCAATTATTTTCATAAATAACAATATTTACTATAGAAATTAAATTATTTTCAAAATTATCAAAATTTTTCGCAGAAATTTAATTATTTTCAAACATTTTTTTTAAAAAATCGACATTTCACATAAAATTGAATTGTAAACAAATGAATTCGAAAATTCACAGAATGAACTTTTTCGTAAATTATGAAAAATTGTTAAATAATAATTGAAATAATAATAATAGAAAATAATAATTGATTTGAAATGAGGAAAATAATTTTGAAAATGTTACAGTAAAAATATTGTTATAAAATAAAATAATGATTTTATTATGCGGTCATGTTTTATAGTTATAAAAAAATTTAATTTATAGTTTTAAGTAAAATGGCATTACCAGTAAATACTTGAACTGCATGGTTGTTAATCCACTGAGAATAAAGTGTGAACTGATTCAAATAAGAAATAATTTTTTGTCAAGTTTTGAAAAAATGCTGACTGCTAATTGTTACGGACTTTGAAATTTTATCCATTTAGCAATTTTATTCCCTTACGATATGACATTCTACAGTCTGATGAAATTTACAAATGGAATTGTTTCTTACGAAGTGTTTGATACCAAATGTTTATCATTTTTGTTTTATACTTTTTATTATATTTCGTTATACCCACTCTCTAAATTTGAATCAATTAAAAATAACTGATTTAGAAGCAAATAAAAATCACAGATTTGATTAAAAAATTAATTTTTAAATAAGAAAATAAAATTACGTAGTAAAACCTGGAATTTTGAATTAGGTTTCCCGTATAGAAACCCTAAATACATAATTATAAAATTGTTAATAATTAAAAATTTTATTACAATTAATTTAAATGGTTTTAGATTTTATTGGTCTGTTGATTGAAAAATTTTATGTTTATGTTACTTACTTAACTAATTTTATGATTCTAGTTTTCATACGTTGATTAAAACTTGTTTCCATTACATATTATAAGGTGCAATTATATTTTATTTAGAAGTATATTATGTATTTCTTTTTATCCAAAATAAAACTTTTTAAGAATAATTTGAAAATTTCTTATAATTATTATCTTAAAAGATCTTGTAATATAAATCGACGGAAACTTTTTAAAAGTGAAAAAAAAATCCAAAGTAATTATATTATTTCAATATTAATTTTTAATAATGTACTTACCTATATAAATGAATATTTTTTAAAAAGCAATAAATATTTAATAACCGTGCGTTCTTATATTCTTTCCTGCTCAGCAAAATATCGTTTTACATTGTTCAGAATGTTGAAAAGTACTAAATTGTTGTAGTATCTTGTAATTAATTGTAACAATTTTTTAACATGATTTTTTATTTAATTTTTAAAATATAAAAATAAGAAGAAAATATTATTTAATATTAATAAAAATTTAAGAATTTATTGTTACTGTAACTTCTTAAAAATTATTTTTATCATTTCAATTCAATTAATATTGTCTAGAATTTTTAACTGAAATTCTTCTCTAAATCAACTATTTTTAATCATTTTTGAAAAAGTTCTTTGGAAATTTTCAAATACATTTGTTTAAATGTCAATTTTACGAAATTTCGATTATTCGGAAATTCTTCAATTAAATATATATAGGTAATTAAATGCTTTTTAAAATTTAATTTTTATAAAGAATTTTATTAACAAATTTTTAAATAATTGTATTCTTTTGACTAACTTTAATCAAATTTTTAAGAATAATTACATTTTTCGAAGAATTTAATTAAAATTGTACTAAAATTAATTAAAATTCTGAGCTGAACTTTATTATTTTTGTAAATAATGGAATTCCTAAAAGAAATTTATTATTTAAAAAAATAATTGAATTCATAAAAAAATTTATTATTTATGAAATTAATTGAATTATTGTGAAGAAATTTATTAAAAATTTCGTAAATATCATTAAATTCCTGTGAAATTTATATTATTTATCAAAATAATTAAATGTTTGCGTACAATTTTATTAAAATTTCTTTTAAACGATTGAATTCTTTTGGGAAATTTATTAAAATAGTAGATATTGAAAATTATTATTAAAGTGAGGAAATTATTTGAAAATAATTGAATTTTGGAAAAGAATTGTGTAATTTATAAAGATAATTGTAATTTTGACGAGAATTTTTTTTTAAATTTTAAACATAATTGAACTTTGTAAGAAGAAATTTATTACGTTTGAAAATAATTGAATTTCTGCAATTATTTGTAACTTCTCCAAAATTCAATTTTTTAAAATGTTTTTAACTAAAATTTTTCTACAAATCCATTATTTTTAATAATTTTTGAAAATGTTCTTTGAGAATTTTCAAATTCATTGGTTTACAATATCAAAATTTCAATTATTTTCCAAAATTTTAAAAAATTTTCGTCCAAATTTCAATTCTCTTTATAAATTATAAAATTCTTCGAAATTTCAATTATTTTCAAAAAATGTAATAAAAATTTCGTCAAAAATTTCAATTCTCTTTATAAATTATAAAATTCTTCGAAAATTTCAATTATTTTCAAAAAATGCAATAAAATTCTTGTCAAAATTTCAATTATTTTCAAAAATTTTCTTAAAAATTTCAATTCTCTTTATAAATTTTAAAATTCTTCGAAATTTCAATTATTTTCAAAAAATGTAATAAAATTTTCGTAAAAATTTCAATTCTCTTTATAAATTATAAAATGCTTCGAAAATTTCAATTATTTTCAAAAAATGTAATAAAATTTTCGTAAAAATTTCAATTCTCTTTATAAATTATAAAATTCTTGAAAATTTCAATTATTTTCAAAAATTTTAAGAAATTTTCGTCAAAATTTCAATTCTCTTTATAAATTATAAAATTCTTGAAAATTTCAATTATTTTCAAAAATTTTAAGAAATTTTACGTCAAAATTTCAATTCTCTTTATAAGTTATAAAATTCTTCGAAATTTCAATTATTTTCAAAAATTTTAAGAAATTTTACGTCAAAATTTCAATTCTCTTTATAAGTTATAAAATTCTTCGAAATTTCAATTATTTAAAAACAATTTTAATAAAATTCTACGCAAACATTTAAATATTTTCAAAAATAATAAAATTCTTTTTAGAATAACAATTATTTTTAAAAATAAAACTGATCGCAGAATTTAAATTACTTTTTAATAGAATTTTATTTAAATTCCTGGAAAAATGTAATTATTCTTAAAGTTTTTTTTTAAATTCGTCAAAGAAATGCAATTATTATTTAAAAATTTGTTGATAAAATTATTTATGTGAATTAAAGTTTAAGAAACATTAAATTATTCAGTAAATTATTTATTTGCATTTTATTTGTATTTAAGTAATTAAATTCTCGTAGATCTTTCTACAATAGAAATTGATTTAAAAGTGAATTTCAGTTAAAATTTCACATTATGATTGAATATTAAAGGCAATAGCATGGATTTTTAAGAATAATTCAATTTTGGAAAGATTTCGATATTAAAATCTTTAAAAATCTGAATTTTTCATACTTTTAATTGAAATTTCTGTAGAAATAAATTTTTTTTTAAAACTAATTCAATTTTATTTTGAAATTATTTCAAGTTTTTATTTTCTAATATATATTATTCTAATATATATTTTCTAATTGAAGAATTTCCGAATAATCGAAATTTCTTAAAATTGAATTGTAAACAAATGAATTTGAAAATTCTCAAAGAACTTTTTTAATTTTTTATAGAAGCTATTTGATAAAAAATTTGAATTATATATGCAAGTTGTATAAACAAATAAATTTTTGCCCCCTTTTTGTCCCATTTTTGAGGAAAAAATTCCCCTTTTCATCTTTTTCGAAGGTAAAAGGTACTGTGATGCCTGAAAATGAATATAGTGATTTTTAATAATGATCTTTTGTTTTTAGGTTGCGTATTCGGTACGTGATGCCAGCGGCGCATCTAACGCTACGTGAGGAGGACGTAGTGCGACTTACATTAGAGTTCTTGCACGGCCGAGACCTTCACATTTCCCAATTATCCTTGGAACGTGAGACCGGTGTGATAAATGGCCAGTACAGCGACGATGTTCTCTTTCTTCGTCAACTCATTCTCGATGGTCAATGGGATGATGTATTGGAGTTCATTCAACCGTTGGAAGCGTTACCCGATTTTGATATGAGGAAATTCACTTACTCAATAATGAGACACAAATACGTTGAATTGCTTTGCATTAAATCGGAGGCGAATGTCATTGTCACTGGCACTAATGGAAATGTCGATAATGCTGTCGAGGAAGTTGTCAAAGTACTCAGTGATCTTGAAAAGGTTGCACCAACGAAAGAAGAATACAGTAGTTTATGTTTACTTTTAACATTACCTCGTCTCACCGATCATTTACAATATAAAGACTGGAATCCAAGTAATGCACGAGTGCAATGCTTTCGTGAGGTGCATCCACTTGTGGAGAAATTTCTTCCTGGCGATAGAAAAAGTTCTGATCCCAGTCATCCGGTGACGTCGGCGAAAAATGATAGGTTAATTCAATTGATCATTAAAGGAATTCTTTATGAATCGTGCGTCAATTATTGTCAGGCGAAAGCCACTGGATCCAAAGAAAGCGAACAGGTATGTCTTCACTGACAGGGTGTCTACTGGTCCTTGAAGCCCTGGAAATGTCCTGGATTTTGAACTTTTGTCCTTGAATTTTCCATATTTTGCTTTTCAATATTCAATAATTCAAAAATTTTACTCAAATTTAAAAAAATAATTTTTTTGATCCATCAAAAAATAATTTCAATTTGTCATTTGATTATAAAGAAACTGGTATCTACAATATTGATTTTTAACTCTTTTTATAATAAACTAAATATTTTTGCTCAAGTATAGGTTAATTTAAATTATGTTAATCGTAATCTGAAATAATATTACACAGGGTTGCCACAAAATTTTAATTTTGTTTTTCCCTGATTTCCAGACAAAATTTTCACTTTTTCCCTGACCCTGAAAAACATTAATAACTTCTTTTTTAAATAAATATTTAATCATTATTATTTTTCTTTAAATCGATTATTTTTAATAATTTCCAAAAAAGTTCTTTGACAATTTTCAAAACCATTTTTTGTTTACAATTAAGTCTTTGTACAAAATTTCAATTATTCATAAATTCTTCAATTAAATATTTATTAGAAAACAAAAACTTCAAATAATATGAAAAAAATCAATTAAATTTCTTACAAAAATTAATTTCAAAATTCAATTATTTAAATACAAAAAACAATTTATTGAATAATTTAATTTAATAATAACTTAATTTCTTAAATTTGAATTCCCATAAAGAAGTTTATTAACAAATTTTTAAATAATTGAATTCTTTCAACGAATTAAAAAAAAATGTTTAGAATAATTACATTTTTCGAAAAATGTGATTAAAATTGTATTAAAAATAATTGAAATTCTGCGATGAATTTTATTATTTGTGAAAATAATTGAATCCCTTAGAAGAATTTTATTATTTATAACAATAATTGAATTCATAAGAAAATTTATTATTTATGAAATTAATTAAATTATTGCGGAGAAATTTATAAAAAAATTTTTAATCATTGAATTCATGTGCAATTTTTATTATTTATGAAAATAAATAAATGTTTGAGTGCAATTTTATTAAAATTTTTTTTAAATAATTCAATTCTTTTGGAAAAATTGTATTAAAAATAATTGAAATTCTGCGATGAGTTTTATTATTTGTGAAAATAATTGAATTCTTAAGAAAAATTTTATTATTTTTAAACAATATTTAATTTTTGCGAAGAATATCACATACTCTTGAAAATAATTGAATTTCTGCAATAATTTGTAACTTTTCCAAAATTAAATTTTTTTCTTCACGTCATTAACAAAAATTCTTCTTTAAATCAATTATTTATAATAATTTTAGAAAAAGTTCTTTGAGAATTTTCAAATTCATTTGTTTACAATTTAATTATACAAAATTTCAATTATTCGTAAATTAAAATAAAATTAATTAAATAAAAAATCCGCAATTAAAACTTCAAATATAAGTAATTTCTTAGATTTGGTAGTGAAAAATATGAAAAATTCATATTTTTAAACATTTTAATTTGAAACCTTTTTCAAAATTCAATTATTTCTAAAAATTCACGCTATAATGCTTTTAATATTCAATTATAATTTAAAATTTTAAGTGAAATTCATTTTTTAATGAATTTTAATTAGAAAATTTCCCGAAAATTCAAATATTTAAATACAAAAATAAATAATTTATTCAGTAATTGCATATTTTTTAAAATTGAATTTTTATGAAGAATTTTTAAAAAATTTTTAATAATAATTGAATTGTTTCGCCGAATTTAAAAAAAATTGTGAGAATAAATGCAATTTTCTATCATTTTATTTAAAATTTTATAAAAATAATTGAAATTCTGCGATAAGTTTTGTTATTTATAAAAATAATTGAATTCTTGCAACGAATTTTATTTAAAATCTTTTTAAAGAATTGAATTTCTGTGAAGAATTTTTTTTGTGAAAATAATTGAATTCCAGAAAAAAATATTATTTATGAAAATAATTAATTTCTTGTGAAGAATTTTGTTTTTTTTAAATAATTGAATTTTTCAGAATTTTTAAAAACTTTTTAAAAATAATTAAATTCCTTCTAGAAATTTCATTAAAAAATTTAAAATTTATTGAAATCTGACAGAATTTAAAAAAATTTTTTTTTGAATAATTGAATTCCTGTGAAAATGTTTATTTTTGAAAACAATTGAATTCTTGGGAAGAATTTTAGTAATATTTCTTAAATAATTGAATTGTTTAGAAGAATTTTATTTTTTACGAAAATAATTGAATTGTTTCGTAGAGTTTTACAAACATTTTGTGACGATAAGTGTATTTCTAGACAAAATGTTGTATTTTACGAAAATAATTGTATTCTATGACCGATTTTATTATAATTTTTCAAATTTATAAAGCATTTTTATTAAAATTTTTAAAAATAATTGAATTCTCAAGAAAGAAAATAATTGATTTCTAGCGAAGAATTTTATTTAAATTCTTTTAAATAATTGAATACTCATAAAAAATTTATTTGTGAAAATAATTGAATTCTTAAGAAGAAATGTATTGAAAACAATTGAATTGTATAGGAAAATTTTATTAAAATTGAAATTATATGAACTATATCTTGTAAAGAATTTTGTCAACATTTTTTTAAATAATAGAATTATTAAAAGAATTTTATTTAAATTTTTCGAAATAATTGAATTTCTCAGACTATTTTTTTCAATTCTCTTTATATATTTGAATTCTTTCGAGAAACTTCATTAAACAATTTGAAATAATTGAATTGATGCGAAGAAATTTATAAAAAAAAAATTTAAGTAATTGAATTCCTGTTAAATTTTTATTAAAATTTTGTTTAAATAATAGAATTCTTTTGGAAAATTGTACTAAAATAGTAGATATCAAAAATAATTGAAATGAGGAAAATTTTTGAAAATAATTAAAATTTTGCCAAGAATTTTATTAAATTTTTTGAAAATAATTGAATTTTGGAAAAGAATTTTATTATTTATAGAGAGAATTGGAATTTTGACGAGAATTTAAAAAAATTTTGGAACATAATTACATTCATGCGAAGTTATTTAAAAGTTATTTAAAAAGAAATTATTGTCAAAAATAGAAAAAATTGAAGGGTTTGTATTATAATTCTTGGCAATTTCATAGTTTATAAGGCAAACAGAAAAGACACAAAAACTCGGAATGTTTCTATAAATTCTAAAAATTAAATTGTTTCAGTACTTTTAATAAAAATCCCTAACTTTTCCCTGAATTCCTTGACTTCCCTGACTTGTGGCAACCCTGTTACACATATAAATGTCCTGGAAAAATAAGAAATCTGTCCTGGAATGTCCTGAAAATGTCCTGGAATTTTCAGTCATATTTTCACTAGACACCCTGGTCACTTTTTCATTAACTGGAATAATTGAATTGTAACAATCTTTTTAATTTTCAGATCGAAATGAGTTTTTCGAGGCTGCTTGATGGTTCTGTGGGATTCAGCGATTCGGACCTTAGTTTATTATCCTGGTTGCAGAGCATTCCCTCTGATACGTTTGCTGTTCCATTTGCTCAACGAACATTGAACGTTGATGTGGAGCGTTTAGAGAGACCTTCGTTAGAGACCTCATGGACTGAACATATGTTAATTACGCCAATTAAACCAAAAACTTTTCCTCATAGTGCAATGCCCTTTACGAGACCAAGATCAGCCGCTGACATGATGTCAAGGAGTTTAGTTCCCGCATTGGAAGCAGGTCTGGGACCAAGAAGTCCTGGTCCAAGGAGCACAATGATTCCTTCGGCTGCTTTAATGGCATTATCAACTGGTGACATCAATCCAATGTCTAGATCGTCATTTGCAAGTTTTCATCTCACTGGATTTAAAAATAATAAGCTAATGAACACCAGCGTTGATCGTTTATTTGAAAATGAAAGCGATGTCTTTCTCAGTTCGAGTTATGCTGAATTTCAACAATTACCCTCAATTCAGGAGGCTATCAATGCAGCACAACCAAAGGCGACGCAACTTCGAACTCGAGCTAGCTCGAAAAGCCCGGATGGTAAATAACGTTCATTTCGTTTCATCCAAAATTATTTTACTTACATATATGTTTTGGAGAATTTTAGAGAAATTACAAATGATTGCAAAAAATCAATTATTTTCAAAAGTATAATAAAATTCTTCACAGAAATTCAATTATGTTCAAAAATTTTTAAAAATTCTTTTCATAATTTCAATTATTTTTAGAAATAATTAAATTCTTCTCTGAAATTAAATTATTTTCGAAAAATTTTAATAAAATTCTTGGCAAAATTTCAATTATTTTCAAAAATTTTCCTCAATTTAAAGATTTTTAATATCTATTTTAATAAAGTTTTCCATAAGAATTCAATTATTGACAAAAAATTGAATAAAATTCTACGAAAACCTTTAATTATTTTCACAAAAAAATGAGAATTTCACAAGAATTCAATTATTTACAAATTTTTTATAAATTCCTTCGGAATCATTCAATTATTTTCGTAAATAATAAAACTTTTACAGGGATTCAATGATTTTCGTAAATAATAAAATTCTTCTTAGGAATTCAATTATTTTTACAAATAATCAAACTCATTGCAGAATTTCAATTATTTTTAATACAATTTTAATCGAATTCCCCGAAAAATGTATTTATTCTAAAATGTTTTATTAAAATTCGTCAAAAAAATTCAATTTATTTAAAAATGTATTAAAAAAATTCTCTATGATAATTCAATTTTTAAAAAATGCATTAACTGAATTCTAGTAGAATTTTGAAAAAGTTTCAAGTTCAAATCTTCGAAAAGCAGAATTTTTTATATTTTTAACTAACAATTCTGTGAAATTAATTTTTTTTGAGAAAGTTTAGTATTTTTGAAAATCATTTAAAATTTTTAGTTTCTAATATATATTTAATTGAAGAATTTACGAATAATTGGAATTTTGTAAAATTGAATTGTAAACAAATGAATTTGAAAATTCTCAAAGAAATTTTTTAAAAATTATTAAAAATAATGCATTTATAGAAGAATTTTTAGTTAAAAACACCTAAAAAATTTTAATTTTGGAAAAGTTACAAATTATTGTAGGAATTCAATTATTCTTAAAAGTAATAAAATTCTTCTTACAAAAGTTCAATTATGTTCAAAATTTAAAAAAAAATTCTCGTAAAAAGCACAATTATCTTTATAAATATCAAAATTCTTCTCCAAAATTCAATTATTTTTAAAAATTTTCCTCATTTCAATGATTTTCAATATCTACTATTTTAATAAATTTCTCAAAAGAATTCAATTATTTGAAAGAAATTTTAATAAAATTGTTCGCAAACATTTAATTATTTTCATAAATAATATAAATTTCACAGGAATTTAATTATTAAAATTTTTTTAAAAACTTCTTCGCAATAAGTCAATTAATTTCATAAATAATACATTTTTTTATGAATTCAATTATTTTTATAAATAATAAAATTCTTCTTAGAGATTCAATTATTTTCACAAATAATAAAACTCATCGCAGAATTTCAATTATTTTTAATACAATTTTAATCACATATTTCGAAAAATATAATTATTCTTAAAAAAATTATTAAAATTCGTCGAAAGAATTGAATTATTTAAAAATTTGTTGACGCTACTCTTTTTGGACATTGAATTTTAAGAATCATTCAATTATTCAATGAATTATTAATTTTGGTATTTAAATAATTTAATTCTAGTAGAATTTAAAAAAAATTGATTTAAGAATGGATTTAAGTTAAAATTTTAGATTATAATTCAATATTAAAAGCGTTAGAGCGGGAATTTTTTGAAATAATTGAATTTTAAAAAAGGTTTCAAATTAAAATGTTTAAAAATATGAATTTTTAATATTTTTAACTAACAATTTTGTGAAATTAATTTTTTTGAGAAATTTTAATTGCGGATTTTTTATTTAATTTATTTTATTTTAATTTACGAATAAATAAAATTTTGTATATAATTAAATTGTAAACAAATGAATTTGAAAATTCTCTAAGAACTTTTTCCAAAATTATTAAAAATAATTGATTTAAAGAAGAATTTTAGTTAATGACACGAAAAAAAATTAAATTTTGGAAAAGTTATAAATTATTGCAGAAATTCAATTATTTTCTAGATTAATGATATTCTTCGCAATAATTAAATATTGTTAAAAAATAATAAAATTCTTCTTAGGGATTCAATTATTATAATAAAACTCATCGCAGAATTTCAATTATTTTTAATACAATTTTCATCAAATTTCTCGAAAAATGAAATTATTCTTAAAAATTTTATTAAAATTAGTCCAAAGAATTCAATTATTTAAAAATTTGTTGATTTAATTCTTTATGGAAATTGAATTTTAAGAAACATTCAATTATTCAAAAAATTATTTATTTTTTGTATTTAAATAATTGAATTCTAGCATAGAATTTTCTAATGAAAATTGATTTAAAAAGGAATTTGAGTTAAAACTTTAGATAATAATTAAATCTTATAAGCAATATGTAGCGTGAATTTTTAGAAATAATTGAATTTTGGAATTAATTTTTTTGAGAAAGTTTAATTGAATTTTTTTATATTAATTAAATTTTTTATTTTTTTAATGTATATTTAATTGAAGAATTTACGAAAAATTAAAATTTCATAAAATTGAATACTGTAGACAAATTGATTTGAAAATAGTCAAAGAACTTTTTCGAAAATTATTAAAAATAATCGTTTTAAAGAAGAATTTTAGTGAAAAATTCTTAAAAATAATAATTGAATTTTATTTTATCATTCAGTCATCTTCATGTTTTATAGTTATCAAAAATTTAATTTAATTTAATTTAATTTTGGTCCGCAAAATCTGTATTTTTAAATCTTTTTTGAGAAAATTATGTTAAAAAGTGAAAAAATTATGCTTTTGGCTATCTTTGATTATAATTTAAAAAAAACAAGAAATGCTAAATTTTTGTTTTTGGTTTCAAATGAAATCACTTGAATAACAGTCAAAAAGGAAGAAAAAAATCTAACGAAAGTGACCAGAATTATTCAAAGGGCAAAATCAGTGTTGGACAGTGATATGAATTTTTTTAAATTCTTGAATGTGAACAAATTTTTATTAAGACTTTTTTTTAAAGGTGGAAAAATAAATCCATCAGCAGCGTCGACACCTGAACGAAGAATGCCTGGCAGAGAGTCACCTGCTTTATCGACTGCCAGGAGTTCTAGGAGGGATTCCTTAACTGATAAACCTGTAGGTATTCCAACCAAAGTTTCTGAACCTGTAATTAATCATCCGGTATCGTCTGTGGAAAATTTAGAGCAAAGTTATAATGGCGATCTCTTTAAAGAATATCAAAAACAAAAGCAGAAACTTCAAGAAACAATACAGCAGAAGGAGAGGGAGAGAGATGAACTTGTTAGACAATTATCTGCACCTGTTGCTTCTCAAGTCATAGACAATCGATTACATAGTGAAAGGTAAGTCGGCCCTTTAAATTTCAATTTTAAAAGAAAATAGAAATTTAATTACCAGAATAATAAGTTCTATTATTTTCAAAAAAAGAAATTTTAGTCATTTTGGAAACGTTTTAGCTGACACTAAAACTATTGGAAAAAGTTCCTTTTTTATCTAGTAACCATAAAATAATTTTCAAAAAAAGTAAACTCATCTTCTTGTTAAATTGGTATTTTGACGTTTAAAAAATTATGGATTTTAATGAAACTCAGAGATTTTAATCTATATATAAAAAGAAATATTTTCAATATTTTTGAAAATTGTTTAAAGAGGAATAGAACTGATGAGGAATTTTAAGCACGAGTTTTATTTTCTCTTAGTTAATTTTCTACAGTGACAATTTGAAATTTGTCATTGTTTATTATATTTATTAAACTCGATAACGAAATAAATTTTTTGATCCAGAAAAAGATGAAATTTCTTGTTAAGGTTTAAACACTGAATGTTAAAAATAGTTGACTCAGTCTAGACGTAAACATACGGCACCGATGAAAATAGCCCTTTCAAAATGAACTACCACTGAAAGAAATGAGAAATTGTTTTAACCCCCAAACATTAACCTTGAGGCGCCGCTTTAAATCTTTAATGAAACACTCAATTCCGTTGGTCTTTGGTTTTATTTTAAGTATACCCACAGCATGTAGATTCGAAATCATAGAATAATTTCCAAAATTAATTCATTTATTTTAAATATTATTTTATTATATTATTATATTATCTATACTTAGATTTTGTATTTATTAAAAATATTTAAAAAATTGTTAATTATTTAAAAATTATGATCAAGAAATAGAAAATATATCTAATTTATGAATAATTTTTATTTCTCAATAATAATATTGTTCACGAACTCATTCCTTTCTTTTGGGAAAAAAAAACATTACATATTCCCTTTTTAATATTATTGTAGAAAATTTTCAATTTTCATAAGGAAATAATTTTTGCATAATTTCTATTCTTGAATTACAATTGCTTTAATAAAATTCAAAGTTTTTTAAAAATAAAGAAAAAAAATGTTTATAAATTCTATTTGTCTATTGGAAATTTTAAATGAAAATAAAATTGAAAATTTTTTAATTTTTAGAAAATAAAGGAAAAAATTTTACTCAAAAAAATGTTGTTACATTTATTTACGAATTTTTTTAATGTAAAAGTATTGGAAAACATCAATAAAATCTTTTTTAAATAAATATTTAATTATTATTATTTTTCCACAAGAATTAAGATTTTCAAAAATTTCAAATTCAAACCTTTTTGAAATTAAACAACTTATAAAAGTATTATCATTTTTTTATATTAACAATGTTGTTACTGTAACTTCTTAAAAATTATTTTTATCATTTCAATTCAATTATTATTTTCTTGAATTTTAATAATTTAATAATAATTTTTGAAAAAGTTCTTCGAAAATTTCCAAATACATTTGTTTAAAATTCAATTTTACAAAATTTTGATTATTCGGAAATTCTTCACTTAAATACCTACATTATAAGAAAAAATTTTTTTGAAATTTTCCTAAAAAAATTTAGGAAGCATATTCCACTAATTATTTTTAAAAATTTACTAATATAAATATGGGAATTTTTCTAAAAAATTATCGAAAACTTCCTATGAAGCTTGGAAAAATTCTCATGAAATAGCGTAGAAAAAATGAAAAAATCCCAAAATTTTGGAAAAATTCTCTTATACGTTTAGGAAATTTTCCTTATGAAAATATAGGATTTCTGAGAATTTGAAGAAGTTCGCAATAATATTTGGAATAATTTCTATGTAACTTCAAATTATTTAAAAAAAATTAAATTAAACTTTTTCCCTTTTTTTAATTTTGGCCCCTAAACGTACCCTATTTTGAAAATTTCCCCTATTTTTTTCGTCGCAGGAAATTGTTTTCAATAATTTTTAAAAAATTCTGCAAATGAATTCAATTATCTTTATAACCAACAAAATTCTCTCCATAAAATCAATTATTTTAAGGATTTTTAATGAAATTCTTTTCCAAAATTTAATTATTTTGATAAATACCTATCAAAATTCTTCTCAATAATTCAATTATTGTCAAAAATTTGAATTAAATTCTTGGCAAAATTTCAATTATTTAAACAAAATTTAATAAAATACTTTGCACGAATTCAATTATTTTTATAAATTTTAATGAATATCTCGTCAAAAATTCAATTATTTTTATAAATAGCAAAATTTTTCGCTAAAAATTCAATTATTTTCAAAAATTTAAATAAAATTCTTTGCAACATTTCAATTATTTTTAAAAGTTTTTCGCAACAGTGTGTTTAAATATTCACTATTTTTCATAAAATTTATCAACAGATTTACTTAAAGAAAAAACTTGTTGATAGGTACAATTCTACGAAAAGATTCAATTATTTTTATAAATAATAAAATTTCATTTACGAATTCAATTATTTTCATCGCAGAATTTCAAATATTTTTAATACAATTTTAAATAAATCCCTTGAAAAATGCAATTATTATTAAAAATTTTATTAAAACTTGAGGAAAGAATTCAATTTTAAGAAACATTTAATTATTCAATAAAATAATAAAATTCGTTGCAATAATTCAAATATTTTCATAAATAACATTTAATTCGTTGCAGAAAATCAATTATTTTCAAAAATTTTTAAGTAATTTTGCAAAATAATTCAATTATCCTTGATAAACAACAAAATCGCATAAATTATATATTAATTTATATATTAATTTATATATATTTATATATTTATTTATTTAAATATTAATCGCATAAATCAATTATTCTAAGGAATTTTAATAAAATTCTTTTCCAAAATTCAATTATTTTGATAAATATCAATATTCATCACAAGAATTCAATTCTTTTGAAAAGTAATAAAATACTTTGCAGAAATTGAATTATTTTCAAAATTTTTTAAAAATTCTCGTCAAAAATTAAATTATCTTTATAAATAAATAGGGAAATTCTTCTCAAGAATTAAATTATTGTCAAAAATTTTTTTTAAATTCTTTTCAAGAAGTCAATTATTTTCAAAAATTTTAATAAATTTCTTCTCATGAATTCAATTGTTTTCAAAATTTTTATTTAAATTCTTCTCAGGAATTCATTTATTTTTAAAAAATTTAATAAAATTCATCAAAAAGTTTTAAATTATTTTCAAAAATTGTTATAAAATTCTTTAATTATAATAAATTTCATTAAAATTTTAATTAAATTCCTTAAAAGAAATTGAATATTTTTAAAAGTTTTTAGTAAAATTCTTCGTAAAAATGAAATTTTAAGAAACAGTGAATATTAAATTATTTATTTCTGTATTGAAATAATTGATTTCTCGTAGAATTAAATTATTGTTTTTCGTACTTTTAACTAACAATTCTGTAGAATTAATTTTTTTGAAAAAGTGATCGATGTCTTTATGTTTTATAAAGTTGTTCAATTTGAAAAGGTTTGAATTTGAAATTTTTGAACATCTTCATTCCAATGAAAAAAAAATGATTAAATATTTATTTGAAATAAAACTATTGATGTTTTCGAATAATTGGACTTTTGAAGAATTTTGTAAATAAATTTAATAAAACTTTTTTTTTGAGTATCTAATAATTTTTAGAGTGAATCAGAATATTCTTTAGGGTCATCAGGGAAAAATATAAGTGAAAGTTGTTTTTGTAAATCAGGGAAAAGTCAGGGAAAAATAAAGTTAAATTTTTGTGGCAACCCTGTATAAATAAATTATATTTTTATCCTTATTTAACCAATTTTTATGGTCCCCCAAAAGTCCCCTGTTTTTTAATTTTCAGTCCCCTATTTTCCCTAAAATACTTTTTAGGGGCACTGTGAAGCCTGCATTTAGATAATGTTCATTTTTGTTTTTGAAATGTAATGAATGAATACAGTCGAAAGTGGAAATTGGCTATAGTTCTTTGACATCCTTTGACGATATTGTTTTCGAGACCTCCATTATACCGGATACCGGATGTATGGAACACAGTCATGGCGAGACTGAGTTTTCAAGGCTTGTGGTCGATAAAAATTTGTTTGATTTTTTACATGTGAATATACATTCTGACCAGTAAATGAAAACTACCTTAATTATAACTAACTAGAAGAAAATCTTAAAATTAATATAGATATAAGATTGTTCTCAGTATGTATTGCAATTTTTATTCCTAATACCTTAATTAAGCTAAAATTTATTAATTGAAGTTCCTTTTATACCATAATCTATTCACAAAAAATTTTGCATCTTTTTCATCGCCAAATATTTTTAAGCATTTTATTTTTTATTCCAATAGTTTAATTATTTAATGATTAAAGAGAAAGCTTTGTTACACATAGAAATATTATCTGAAACATTAGAGCCACGTAATATATTTATTATATTTATTTATTATAATAGAGTTATTTTAATTTAAGATAAAATAAGATAAGATATATATTTGCAGTGATCTGATTACAAATGAATATTACTAGAGTAGAAAAAAGAAATTGATTTAGTAATAAACAAAGTGCAAATTTTGTCAAAATTCACTGGAACGATAAATATTTCCTTCTTGAATTATCGCATGTCGGATCTTTATAATTTTTTTCAAAAGAATTGTTTATTATTTATAAAAAATAATTTATGATAAAAATGTATTTGAAAGTAGACTAGTATATAATTATTTTTAATTCGTAATTACAATCACTTTCTCGCCTTTTCTCTTCTGGTATTTTGCCTATTATTATAAAAGGTTTTTATGGTGAAATGGTTTCTAAAATTAGTAAAATTTAGGGATATTTTGGAAAAAGAAATTTTTAATGCGAGTTGACTCATTCCTATACACAACACATTCGAACTAGAAACAAAGAGAATATTATAAATAAAGAAAAAAATAAACAAGAAAAACTTGAAAGTTAGGAATTTTATAATTGTTATACTCCTGCGCAGAGTAGTTATACAGGGTTGCGAGGAACAAAAAAAGGATTACGAAA